TTTCTGCCTCTATGATGGGCACATGTGCTACAGTGTCTCTCAGTGAGTGGTCTTGGAACACGCAGAAGGGTGCCAGAAGAGAAACATTGAGCAGATACATCATTTCCTCCAGAGGATGAGAAGAGTATATGTTCATTAGATATCAAAGACATAGTTTAAATATCAGTATCAGGATGGACACAAAGCATGGATCAGTCCAAAAGACAGAGAGTCGGGCAACTAAAGGTTAAGATCCATTGGAAGCATTCCTGTAAAATGGTGCGGTGTATCACACTGGAGGGTCGTTGGGTGTACAGTGTAGAGGAAGAGTGGATGGGCATTGCTAGTCTTCTCAGATTTCTTATATTAAAGGCTGGAGGATTGTGTGCCAGGCATCATGTGTTACACTGTATACATATAGTCACATGGAATCTTTAACCCTACAGTGAAGTGATTTCTTCTCTGACTCTAGAGATGAAAGCAATGATACTTATCTCAAAGTGTTGCCCCACTCACAGAGATAGGAAATGGAAGCCAAGATTTGAATTTTGACCCTAACCCAAGAATAAAGGGGAATCCAAATTGTGAAAGTTGAAGGGGCTATTTGGGGTAGAGTAGAATCCAAGAGGAGAGTGCCCCCATGAAAGTAGGGAGAAGTTATAGTCTCCATTCAGGGAAAAAAAATGTGGAAGAATGGACCACTTCTGGCTTGCAAACACTCAGTGTGCAGTGTCTGTGGTTGGTACAGTTGACACAGCGAAGTCAGGAGTGCTCTGTTCAGTGTATTTGATGGGAGAGCAGCCTAACTCCTAGAACCTTCCCTCTCCTGTCTCCTCACTATCAAGCTCTCTGAAATATCTGGTTATCTCACATTCTCTGGAAGCCCCGTGTTCTCTGCTATGTGGGTACCCCAAGATGAAACTGTACCTCTCCTCACAGCCTGCAGTGCCTACAAGTAAAGGGTTAAGGATGAAAGAGCCCAGTTGTTACACTGTAGTGTTCTGATCTTGTGCAGTGAGTGGCCACCATTATCGTTATGAGGAAGGAAGCTAGCCCACAGAGAATGGGGTTCTGCTAGTTAGGGGCCAAGCATGAGGAGCACTTTGGAAGTGTGGGACAGTTCCCTGGGGTGGGGTGGCTGGTGACCAGAGAGGAGAGAGCTGAGCATCACCATGGGCCTAACTGTGGATCTGTAACAGGGCCACTCACCAGTATTAAAGTACTCCCTAATCTATGGGAGATGACCTGCCTCTGGCTGACTAAGACCTAAGTGCTTGAGCATGACTCTTTATTACTCTTGGATTTGGGTCTGAAATATCCCCTGCTGGCTCATGCTCCCCAGCTTATAAGGCTATGTTAGAAGGCTGTGGAGCTCTTGAGAAGTTAGGGCGGAGCTGGCAGAGGTGGATATGAGGGACCCTTGGTTCTGGCCTGTGCTCCCTATCCACCACCATGTGAACAGGCTCCATGCTCCTGCCACCATGAGTACTGCCGTGCCTTCCTGCCTTCCCTGCTGTAACTAGTCTTTCTCCTTGGGAATTTTGTCACACCGATGGAGAAGTGACTAATAAAGCATTAACTGAAATCCCTGTCACTGCTAGGGTCACCAACAGCTTTGCATATTAAGTCTATCTCTGGAGTTGCTATCCCCCTCATCACCCCAGAATTGGTTCTGATAGCACTTGGTTTCCAATTCAGGGTGTCTTATTAGGGATTCCCTTGCTGTGATAAACACCATGACCAACAGCAGCTTGGGAAGGAAAAACTTTATCTCATTTTCCAACTCTCAGGTCACACCACACCACTGATCAGGGCAGGAACCTGGAGGGAGGAGCTGATACAGAGGCCATGGAGGGGAGCTACTTACTGGCTTGCTTGTCATGGCTTGCTCAGCCTGCTTTATTATAGAACCCAGGACCACCAGGCCAGTGGTGGCACCATATCAACCATTAATAAAGAAAACGCCAGACTTGTCAACAAGCAATCTGGTAGAGCCATTTCCTCAATTGGGTTTCCTCCTCTCTTCAGACTTTAATTTGTGTCAGCTGGCAAAACAACCCACCACCACCACCACAACAAAAGAACCACTCAGGACACAGGGTCTGGAGTAGAGCTAAATTTGACAAGACCCTAGGACAGTGGTTCTCACCCTTCCTAATGCTGCAACCCTTTAATACAGTTCCTTATGTTGTGGTGACCTCCCAACTGTAAAATTACTTTGTTGCTATTTAATAACTGTAATTTTGCTACTGTTATGAGTTGTAACAGAAATATCTGATGTGTAGAATACCTGATATGCAACCTCCAAAGGGATTCTGACCCACAGGTTGAGAACCACTGCACTAGGAGAAAGAACATCTGCACATGGCTGCTATGGTGGACACAGGCTCTGCAGTGAGCTGAAATGTTCGTAGAAAACAGCAGGCTTCAGTTGCTTTGCCTTGAAGCATGTGAATAACTATTTCTCTCCTTAAATGGGAGAAAGTCCAAGGTCATAGGCAGTTTATCTAGATCCTCTGTACAAGCATGGAAAAAAATCCTTGTGTCTTGAGAAGTTTGCAAGTTCCCTGAAAAATAACAAGACCTTAGTAAATGTTTATATCATAAGCTAATTAATGCATAGTGAATACAGTGCTTTCCCTTCGTCTGTGAGATGCATTCCAAGATCCCAGTTGATGTCCCAAGCCATAGACCATACCAAATACCAAATTCTACACACACACACACACACACACACACACCATGCAATGCTTTTCCACTAAATGTGTCATGTACTGGAGCTCTCACTTCAGCAGTGTGAACTTTGACAGCCAGCTAGCATGAATTGCTCTCCCTTTCACAGTGTTATGGAAGATTCATTCTCACCATAAATCTTAACAACTTCAGCCTGTTGTTTCTTCAGTATAGTTAAGAATTTCCATCTGCACACACACACCCCACACGCAGACACACACACACATACACACTCACACTCACGGGAGGGAGGGAGAGACTGACTGACTGACTGAGACTATCTCCTAACCCTTCCCAAATAGTTCTACCAACTGGAAACCAAACATTCACATATATGCACCTATGGGGACCATTCTCATTCAAACTCCACAAAATCTAAGTACTGAGATCAAAGGCTTGAGCTCTGTTACTCTTCACTCTTGTGTAGGCCATGGTGGCTTTGAACTAACAGAGATCCATCTACCTCTTAATCCTGAGTCCTGAGATTAAAGGTGTGTGCCACCACCAATTGACCTCTATAGCTTGTGGCTGACTTTTGATTTCTGAACCCCCAGGCAAGCTTTAAAAAACCATAAATAGTATATCACCTCAGTTTTTCTTCAATTTTAAAGACGTGGTTGGGAGCAAGGCTGCATTGCCACGAGAGAACAAACATTAAACTCTAGATGATGAGATGCTGTTGAGGTGAGAGTTAACTGAGTACTACCCAAGGTCAGCTGGAAATAAGACAGTCCAAGAGCAGAAAAGATCAAAATGCCCAAAGACTGTTTGGAGAGACAGTGATAGTGGCCTCAGAGGGGCCTAGCACTTGCTGGGCAGCAGATAGGGAAGCAGCACCCGGGTCTTCAGCCCAGCCAGGTGCTCTCTTTGAGGAAGTTCTAGCGCTTGCTTGGGTGTTTCTCCACTGAGTTATTTTGAACATGTACAAAGAGGTATTTGCTTATTATTAGAGCTGTGCAATCACTGAGCACAAATAAACCATGTTCACTTCCAATGTTTCTGTGAAATGCTATCAGGGATTTCATGTGGACTCACAGTCAGCCACATACTGGGTGTCCACATCCTACTTAATAGGAGCTTTCTATGGTGGGGCACAGAAGCTCAGGGCCTTCTCTGCTCCTCTTAGTACCAAGTCAGAAGTGGTACTCCCTGGGAAAGTGGCTGACTGCTTCCTCAAGATTATCTTCACTTCTGTCTGGCAGCATGTGGTTGATGGAGTTGTGTTTAAAAGGGAAAAAACTAATCTGTCATTCTCAGTTGTCTTCAGTGAGAGAGTTGCCTCAACTCATCTCTCAACTCATCAGAAATGGAAATTCAGGGGGCTGGAGGGATGGCTCAGTAGTTAAGAGCACTGGCTGCTCTTCCAGAGGTCCTGAGTTCGATTTCCAGCAACCGCATGGTGGCTCACAACCATCTATAGTGGGATCTGATGCCCTCTTCTGGAATAGAGATGTACATGCAGTTAGAGCACTTGTTTACATAAAATAAATAAGATCTTCAAAAAGAAAGAAAGAAAGAAAGAAAGAAAGAAAGAAAGAAAGAAAGAAAGAAAGAAAGAAAGGGAAATCCGGATCTATGTGCATCAGGCTGCTTAACTCATACTCTCATGAAAATCTAGAGGACACTCGCAAAGTATGAACAGATGAAAAACACAAGGCACAGGGTACTTGGTTTCCTTTTGGAAGTTGTAGAGGTGATAACCAATGGAAACAGTCCTCTAGCCCAAGTGATGGTGTATGTTCTTAAGCCCCCTGCCTGCCGTTTTCTGTGTTGCTTTCTCTCTCTCTCTCTCTCTCTCTCTCTCTCTCTCTCTCTCTCTCTCTCTCTCTCTCTCTCTCTCTCTCTCTCTCTCTCTCTCTCTCTCTCTCTGTGTGTGTGTGTGTGTGCTCACGCATGTGCTGAAAAGTACATGCATCTAATATTGAATCATTTCAATATATTATAAAAATAACGTTAAAAAATCTGGAATCTTTAACTCTGAAAACTAACACCAGTGAATGAAACTCAGAAAGTTTCTCTTACGTGCTCTTGGGGGGCAGAGATTGTGCCATAGTAATTTTAATGTACCTCCAAATGACCAAAGCTCCACCAGGCCAGCCCTGCCAGGCCAGCCCATGGCCCTCCAAAGAGCACAGGAAACTCAGTACACTATCTTATATTCTCTTGGAGGCCAACACCTACATACCACCAGCAGACTCATTGATTCTGTTCCATTTTGAGCAAATATGTCTTTTCAAAGCCCAAATACTTGGATGGCCATCAAACATATATTCCTGTTTCTTTTTCAGAGGAAAAGGCAAGCCTATGAGTCGAACCTCATCTGTCATGGCCTGCAGCTGGAAGCAACGCGATCGGTAAGTGTTTATTTGAAACCCTTTGTGACCCACAGTGGCTGTGTATCCCCTGGAGATGAGCCGTGGCATGGGAAACATGCAGCCACAGCCACACTGCACAGAGAGTAGGAAAGGAGACAGACAATGCCTATACCACAGGCCAGGGACGTGGTTTGGTGGACAAAGGCACATGCCACAAAAGCCCAGTGGCCCAAGTTCAGTCCCAGGATTGCATGGCTGGAGATGAGTGCTCGTTACTGAGAGTCACCCTCTGACCTCCGCACATGTGAGCAATGGATACACCATGCCTATTCTTTCAAAGGGGGAGCGTTTCAGTTTTATAACTTGCTTTTTCCTTTACTACATAGACAACATATCTATAGCAGAGAGGATAACTTGTTGACATCAGTGGTCATATGGCATAATGGATAGATATAAAATAGATTAAGCAGCCCATTTCCAGGTTTGGAAACTTTTTCCGTTAGAACAACCTTGCCATGGGTATTCTAGTGTTGTTATTCTAGGTCACTAATAGATTGTGTGACAACAAATTAAGTTTGATTTTCTCACTTAAAATGTTATGAGTTTAAGTCTTGAGGAATGGCTCAGCAGTTAGGAGCATTTGCTGCTCCTGTAGAGGACCAAAGTCCTATTCTCAGGACATCTGCCTGTAACTCCAGCTCCAAGGGAGCTGACACCTTCTTCTGGCTGCTGTGGGTCACCTGCACAAGTTCACATATACACACATGCACACACAAATAAAACTTAAAAGACAAATATTTAGAAAATTGCTAATTCTATGTTTCTTAATTCAAACTAAAGAATTATCTTTAGGTAAAAAATATATAATCATTATAGATCTGACATTATCTTCCCTTTTGCTGGTGTCCTCTTGACGTGTATTTTTATTTTAAAACCTACCGGAGCATAGGGGAGGAAACATCTGTGCTTTAAAATTGTGATTATAGTTGTTTGGTTTTTGTTGCACCCTCATAGGTTTCTGATGACAAGCTTGTGTTTGTGAAAGTGCATGCACCCTGGGAAGTGCTATGCACCTATGCTGAAATCATGCACATCAAACTCCCCCTGAAGCCCAATGACCTAAAGACCCGCTCAGCCTTCGGCACCCTCAACTGGTTCACCAAGGTCCTCCGCGTGAATGAGAGTGTCATCAAGCCAGAGCAGGAATTCTTCACTGCCCCATTTGAGAAGAGCCGAATGAATGACTTTTATATCCTTGATAGAGATTCCTTCTTCAACCCTGCCACCAGAAGCCGCATAGTAAGTCTAAACAGAATATGATTTCTGTTTCGGTGTGATTTGAAACCTGCTATTGAAGAATTAGCTGCATGGTTGGGTCATTGTAGTTCTGATTTTAAAAAATTTAAAAAAAGATACTGTTGTTAGTATTGTTGGTATTATTTCAGTGTGGACAGATTGCTGCTATAGTGAACAAAAAATGATTGCACGAGTTAGTTCTACCATAAAACCGACATGGTCTGTTTCAAAATCTTTTTAGGTTTATTTCATCCTCTCTCGTGTCAAATACCAAGTGATGAACAACGTTAGCAAATTTGGGATCAATAGACTGGTCAGTTCTGGAATCTACAAGGCAGCGTTCCCACTGCACGATGTAAGTCAAATGGCAAAAGTGGAGACATCAGTGAGTACTCTGGTGCTGACAGGGAAGGACTCAACTTCTTGGCCTTCTGTCCTTTCCTCTATAAGACAAAGGTAATGGCACGAAGGATCACAGGCTGATCCAGGGCAAGAAAGATCCAAAGCCCCTTCACTGATGGACCCCAGGCGTAGAGACACTGCTGGGTTTAAAGGACCAGGGAGAAAGAACAGTTCCCTCCCTCAGGCAATGTGGCAACAGTACAGATCACACAGGTCAGCGCTTTGGCCGAGTGGGTGTCTGGAAGTAAAGCCCTACTCTTCTACTTCCTGCCAGATGGCCTCTGCTCCCACGTGTCCTTATCAGTAAGGAAGTTGTAGTAATGGTTCCTACCTCAGAGAGTTAATTAAATTTATATAAAATATTAGTCCCTATCATTTAAGTGATGGCTACTTTCATAAAAACTGACAGATGTCATTACAAAAAAAATCAGGGGCCTTTGTTTTGTAGGGAAAACATATTAGAAATTCTTATTTGACGTTTTCTGTAAATAGACATTCCCCCCTTCAAATACTGTTTCCAGGCTATACCAGGGCCTTTAAAAGGGAGCTTACCAGGGTTCATATCACAGTGACAAAGCCCGAGATTATTAACATTATGAAAGGACTGTTCAAAGGCTGCAGTGACTCATTGGCTTCAGAAGTATTTATTAAACGCCTAGCATCTCCTATGAAATGAAAATTCTAAATGTGACCATATATATGGGAGGGTGTTATGTATCTAAAAGTCTTTACTGTATCCTGCCCTTGAAGTATGTTAAGTTCTGCATCAATCGCATTGTTACTTTGTTGCATTTACTAACCAATTTATCTAAATCTCTATAACTAAAGAAAGCAAAGGAGGCCTGAGTTTGATCATTGCTACTGTGTGTTCTGTGCATTGGGGGATGGGACAATCTAAAAATGTGCCATATATCAAAACTAAACTAGAACATCAAACAAATGCTTGACTCACATGGATAAGCAGAGAGGGCGGCAGAGGCAAGGTGGCAAAGACTGAGCCTCCAGGGAGAGCCAGTGTGGCCACCGAGCCTGAAAGTTTGTTCTGTTTTTGTGCTCCGGCAAAATTGGCAACGGAAGCTTCTGAACTTCAGGGACAGTTGTGTATGGTTCTCTGGATGTTAGTGTGGGACCCCACAGTCCTAGAATATTCGTTGACATTTGCCTGTGCCCGGGTCTTGCCTATCTCCAAGCCTGGAGTGATCCTGTGTGGTGTGAGGGGCAGCAGACAGAGATGAGGGCTCTCACTGAGGCTGGGCTCTGTGGTAATATGGCTCTGTGCATGAGTGACATGATCTGTGTACCATCAATATATCTGCTGCACTGAGAGACAATGGAGCACTGGCTACAGTAGTGGCCTGCTGCTAACCAGCCAGTGTCCTGGTCTCCCACCATCCAAGAAGTGTGCCTTCAGATAGAGATCCTTTGATCGTGAGGATCTGGGGTCTTAAGTGGCCCCGTTGTCTCATTCATCAGGACAGCCTCACTTCACGACATCAACGTCCATGAGGCTCCAGCCAAATCCCTACTTTGTTCCCTAGGAATGACTGCTGCTAGCATCACTATCCAAGTATCCATTGTCATCTCTGTTTCCAAGTAACCCCCAAGGGCAATAGTGTGGTCACCCTTGTTTTAGAATCACTAAAAATTAAATGGAATGGCTGTCTCTTCCAGCAAGTGGGGCCCCAGCTCCCACAAATGGCCATTGACATCATATTTAACCATCAGATTTCTACACTGAGGATTATGGCGCTCATTTCTTCCTTTCTACTTCTCAGTGCAAATTTAACTATGAGTCGGAGGACCCCAACTGTCCTAGTGAACGTTACCTCCTGTACAGGGAGTGGGCTCACCCCCGAAGCATCTACAAGAAGCAGCCCTTGGACCTTATCAGGTGAGCAGGAGAGAGCATTCCGGTGGGGAAGTACTCAGGGGTACCTTGTGTCTGCATGACAGCTTTCAAACAGCATTGTCAGCCAGAGGTGCTCACCCAGCTCTGATACCCAGGGTTTTCTCAAGGCTTCCTTACTTATCCATAGTGGATAGATCATAACTTTATGTGCCCCGGTGTGTAATTGGACATTTCTCTCAGATCTCAGATTCTTGATCCCATATAACTGACTTAGAGGCTGACTATTGTTTATAAATGCTTGGGTGGTAGCTCAGGCTTATTACTAGCTGACACTTAACTTAACCCATGTCTCTATCTGTACTTTGCCACATGCCTTGGTACCTTTTCTCAGTATGGCATTCTCTTCTTGCATCTCTGTGTTTGCCAGCGACTCTGACTCCACCCTTCCTCTTCCCAGCATTCTCCTAATCTGGCTCTCTCAATCAATCTCTTCCTGCCCAGCTATCGGCTTTTTATTAGCAAACGAGAGTAATACATGTTCATAGCATAGAAAAGGATTCTTCCACAGTACCAGTGTCTACTCTTAGGTCAGTAATGGAGCATTTATCTTAGTTAGGTTGCCTGGATTTGATCCCTAGTACTGGAAAAAAAAAAAAAAACTAGTCCCTTCCTACCCCTGCAGGTCCAGAAATCACACTTTGCTCACAGCCCTGACTTGACAATCATATGATCAGTCTCTTTGGCATGGCCAACTCTGTCCAGAGTCATCCCATGTGCATACTTTCTAGGCCCCAGCATGACTTCCCTGAGCAGAAACTCTCAGATAGTGCTACCGTGAATGGGAGGACCCTCTTCTCTCTCAGGAACTTCTCTCACAGGAGTTAGAAGTTACCCACCAGGGACTTAGGAGGCTTTGCTGGATAGGAGTCAGTATTAGAATCATTAGCTCATACTATGGTCGGGTGAGAGCATTTTCAGTATTTTCCTGCTGTTGGATGTCATTTCATGACTGAGGAAATCATGACTGCATCGGGGCTTGTCTCTCAGAACATAAAGGTTACAGTTCAGGAGCTGGTGACTCGGGCGCTGTGATGTTCTTGAAGTTTGCCTCTGTCCTGTGCATTGGCTGTGGTGATGTCACCCTTGTCCAGGGCATGGCCTGCTTTGTGTAGGCTATTTGACATGCAGTGTTGTGTGCTTCTGTTAACATGGTGTCCTGCTGCCTCTGTTTTTGTGAAGATAGCAGCCATTTAAAATGGTCTGTTAGGTTAGTTACTCTCTAAAGATTCACTTAATTATCTCATTTGGTCCTCCTTAGTCACCACTCGTTTTATATTGTCTGGATTATTGTCACACAGAGGTACTTCTGTCGACTCTGATGCCCAGGAGATGAAATAGCATGGGGTGTGTACATGTAAATACAGTTTCACTGCGCACTCATGAGGAACTGGTGTCCAGAGCCTCTGAGACTCAGGAGACCTGTCCAAGTCCCTTACATAAAAGGCCATCACCTTTACATGCCCTACGGCCCCTCCTCCCAAATACTTTAAATCATCTTTTGATCACTAATAATCCCTAAAGGGGTGTAAAGACCATATATATAGGTGCTCTGCTGTGCTGTCTAGGGAGTGACAGCAGGGAGAACAGTCTGTAAATATTCAATGTAGTTGAAGTCTGTCGCCAGTATCTACAGGGGAGACTGGGTGCATTCAGCATGGTATAGCCGTAGGCTCTCCCAGTGTTCCCAATTAGCATTCTCCTGAATCCCTGGGTGAAGTTCCCATGAGTGAAAGGCTGCCTGTGGTCACGGTTGTCATCCTTGAGGAGTTTTCATTTTATTAATTTCCTTCTGTAGGAAACCAGTTGTGTCTGACTGCACAGTGGTTTGATGAGTTCTTATTTTAAATAAATCAAGTGCATTTCCTAACTACCCCAGCCCCATCCCACATGTTCCCTTCTTTGCCTCACCAGTAACCTCTCAGGAACCCAGGTTGTCGGCCTTTGTGTGCAATTCCCTGGGATTATCAAAAGGGGTAAATGTTCTTTCTGTAACGGTGAGCCAGGCAAACTAGAAAGATCAATCTGAGGGAAACCATCCTGGCCCAGAAAAGAAAAGTCCCTCCAGCCTCCCCTTAGTGACCTCGGAGTGAGAAAAGAAGACAAAGCTTGAGGAGATGGCAGGAAAGATCACTACAGAATAAAATAACAGCTTTTGGAAAATGAAAGTAGGATAGGAAAAAGTTGAGTAGGAAGTTCAGTCAGCCTCCAGAAGTCCAGGTTAGGAGCAGTCTAGAGAGACTGGTTCGTTGGGATAACTGTTAACTCCTGGGAGAACGAGGTGTACAGAGGGAAAAGGACCTATCAGGTGACTCGACTCAGCTCTGCAGAGTGTTTACAGTCTTAGCAGTGTAAAACAGAGGTAGCAATTAACCAAAAATGATGCTGCAGGGATGGAAACAGAGGTGTAGCTGTGTGCACGAAGCAGGGGCTGCGCTCCAGGCTAGAAAGGCAACGTGGAGAGTGAAGCACTTTTGGGATGTGCGTCCGGACAGCAGTTGGTGGGGTGCTGGGGGGTGGAGCAGCTGGGGACTGACTGCCCCTTTTAATTGCCAGCTGCCAGATGTGGTAGCGCTCACCTGAAGTCTCAACACTTGGAAGACAGGGGAGGGAGGATGGGAACTCCAGGCTAGCCTGGGCTACACAGTGAGACCCTGACACAGAAACAAATTAGTCAAAGCTAAATTTTCAAACTGATATTAAGGGTTACGAGCCTTTTGGTGGAGAAAAACAATGACCAGAGACTGTCACCTCTGAAATTATTCTTTTTATTCCCAGTTTCACATTCCCAGTAGGAGACAGGTCTCTATTACAGATCTGGACTTCGACTCCCTTGTACCGGGAATGCCCTATGAAGAGTTCAATTCTGCCACTGAATGTATACACGGAGACTGCTTGATCATTTACCTAAATGTGGCAGAATATATTTTTACCATTGGAAAGTTTGGCCATTCAACTTCTAAGGATCCCAGTTTTAAATATGTCATATCCAAAATACATGTTTATAAGAATTGTGTTGGGCTAATTTGCATTATGGTAACAAAACAACTGAGTCAGGCTACTTTACAAAGAATAGAGGTTTACTTAACCCACAGTTTGGGGGATACCAAGTTCAAACAGCATGGTACTGTCTCTGGCGAGGAACATGCTGGATGTGTCTTCTCAGGGCAGTGTCCTTATGGCAGGGACACTGGGCACAAAGCAGCTTAGACACATGGGGAGCCATGATATAGTCCCTCTTAGAGAGCTAATGGTCTCATGAGAGCTTGCATAATGCCGTCTGAGGGTGATTCCTGCATGACCTTGTGCTAGACTCAGCCTGTTAAAGGTCCGTCATCCCACAAGCCCTTCAGCATCACTTAAGCCTCTTCAAAGCAGAGTATGAATATAGTAAAGAGAAAACAGGCTAAAATGTCCAAACCCTTGCCCAGGTCTTATCTCCAGGCACTATCCCAAGCCTTCTATTTTCCAGCAGTCCAAAGCCAGACACCAAGCCCCAGTCACATGGAAATGTCATCTTCTGCTCCTCTTATGTCCTAACTCCACTCCATGTGACTCCTAGCCTGTGGTGCTGGACTGACCTTTGTCCTAGAAGCTGGTCCAGCCTTCTAGGGATCTAGGCTGTGCTAACAGCTGAGTTCCCACTAGGTAAGGTCCGAGGAGACTGGCTTATCTCCAAGCTGAACCTACGGTTCCTCGAAAGTCTCACTTGTGTCCACAGACCAAGACAGAAACAAAGTAGAAACCCACTGCACAGCAGCTGCACAGCCTCACTCGCTACTCTGGCAGGAGTAGTTTTCACCTGCATCTTATTCATTCTATTCCCTGTGATCAGAAAAACGTTGTGAAAAAGAACAACTCCTATTCCTTTTCTCTTCATGCGCCACAGGTATATGGGTATATTTGTACAGAGTAAAGTCACAGTTGGTATGTGGGGTGGCACCATCTGGGGTCAGAGATACCAACTGTTTTCTCAGAAATGTACCTCCCACATGGAAGACCCCTGTAGCAGCATTGAGATTTGGGTTTACACTGCGCTTCTTGCATTTTCTCGGAGTACGGAATAGCAGGTAGCTGAATAGGCAGAAGATTCCCACGTATTTGTCACTTTGAAATTCACTCTGCTTCTGCGCGGGCAGCATCCTTGCTGTTCCATAGTTAAACTAAAGGCACCACTCTGAAGGTGAGCATGCTGGAGCGGTGAACTGCATCGGGGGTTTTATATAAAAAGCCTCCTTTACTTAAAAACCAAACAGCCATGCTAGAATGAAGCAGCACAGTGATGATCCTCTAAAAATACCTTCTCTCTCCCTCCCTTCCTCCCTCCCTCCCTCCAGGAAATACTATGGAGAGAAGATTGGAATCTACTTTGCATGGCTGGGCTACTACACTCAGATGCTCCTGCTTGCAGCTGTGGTGGGCGTAGCCTGCTTCCTCTATGGATATATCAATCAGGATAACTGCACTTGGAGGTAATCTCTCTTTAACCCTTGTTTCCACCTTGATGAGTCACAGCAGTGTTTCTAGGGCTTTAGACAGTCTTGGTTAAGGAAAACTCATTGCAAAAACTCATTGCATGATCTCTCCCCTTTGTTCTGAGAACAGGAATGGGTGAAATGGGAATATGTTTTACAGATAAGGCAACACAGCCTCTGATAGGAGCATTATGTCTCAGATTTAAACACACATTCTCTCTCTCTCTCTCTCTCTCTCTCTCTCTCTCTCTCTCTCTCTCTCTCTCTCTCTCTCTCTCTCTGATGTTTCTATGAAAAATAAAGAGCTAAGGTTGCCCTTGAACTTCTGAGGGATGCTTCACAGCCTTGCAGACCTTAGCCAAGGGAAGCTTTGAATTCTTGGTGGTTTTCTGTTTTTAGAAATGACTTTTTTCCTAAATTATATGAAGAATTGCTTGATTGGAAACTCAAGTAACTCAGTTGTGATTTTGTGTTTTTAATTTTACAAAATGTTGAGGGGGGGTAACTAAGTACCCAAGAATCCCTTTGTAGTTGATACTGGTATTCGAATACCAGCTTCATCCAAGGGGAGTCCCTGGGTGCTGCGGCACGCTGGATTGGGCTGTGCTGTTTGGAGCTGTGTTATCATGTGTCTGCTTTTGATGTTCACTATGCCAGATGTTGTCTCCTGGCCTCAGTCCAGATGTAACAGGCAGGTTGCGGTTTCTGGGCTTCAGGGCTAAGGTGGTGACATGTTTCGAGCTCTGAGCATGTCATCATAGCTCTGAGGTGGGATGCTTGTTGTCACCCTGATATATAGGCACATTGCCCAGTCCACTGACAGGCTGCTGAACCTGTGTGCCCAAGATGTCTGTTTGAAGTCCCCTCTCTCTCTTTGTGAAAAAGAATTTTCAGCCAAGGACTGAATGTTGGTACCTTCTCCCTCTGTCTGTGGTTTCTCTGTTGGACTAATGTTCCATTCCCCATGGCATCTCAGGATTGAACTTAGGTTGAGCAGGCATTACTTTTGCAAGACCCATTATGTGTGTATGCGTTGGGTCGTGTGCATGCGTGAGTGTGTGGATCCATGCACAGGAGTATGTGAGCACACAGAAGCCAGAACAGAACTTGTGTCTTCCTCTCCTGCTGTGAGTCTTATCCCCTTGAGACAGCATCTCTCACTGAACCAGAGCTCACCTTTTCTCCTAGTTTGGCTCACTATGGAGCTCCTGGGATCCTGCTGTCTCTATCCCCTAGTACTAGAGTATAGGTATGTGCAGCCATGCTTGGATTCTTACATGAGTGATGATGATGAGATGTCCGCAAAGCAAGTGCTGTTAACCCATTAAACCATCACCACAGTCCCTGGTACTTATAAACCTTTCATGAAGTAACCATGACAGATACATATTGCCTGACGCTCCACACAGATTATGGAAAATGGAAAGAGAGTCTTATGAACATACTGCCTGTGTCCAAAACTATGTGGCTTTACTTCAATTATGCTGTAAACAGAGCCTAAAGGGCCATACTAGTAGGACCCAGGAAGACAGTAGTGCTAAGAACAGTATGGGCTTGGAGACCCAGCTTCAGAGGGAACAATATTAGCCATGGGGCTAGCTGCCATTCCTGTGATATTTTGGCAAAGAATCTTGCTGCTTTCTGCCTGTGTCCTGAGAATTTGCCTGACACTAAATTAAAATCAATGAAGTAATTTTTGGCAGAGGAAGTAAGGCATCATAATATTGAATCTGTGGCATGGTTATTATTAATGACTCATGCATATTTATAATGAAAAAGAGCAAGTGGGGCAGAAACACAAAAGGTAGATTTGAAAGAAAAGGAGCCCTGGGGAGCTTAATGTAATAGCTAAGGAAAGCGCTAGGAGAGAGGTTGTAGTTGTTAGAGATTGCACCAAGGAGAGGTCTGCTCTGCACAAGAATAAAGGGGAGGGTTCACCCAGAGCAAGACCCTCCCACCTGAGCTTCCAGTTGGTGAAAAGAAAAGACCTAGGGTATTCTCTGCTCCTAGAAAGCAATTGTAAACACAAGCTGCTTCTAGTGAAGTTCAAGAGGGCCTGAGTCCATTCCCCATTGGTACCAGAGTTGGCAATGTTGTTCATATGATGCTAGCTTTAGAAGCTAAAAGGTAAAAGAGAGATGGGGTATAGATTCTTCTTCCACCATTTCAGAAAGCCACTGAGGCAAGAGCATAGTATGACAGAGGAGGCCTTGCCTGAAAGGCCATTTTGTGAAACTTGGAAAGTGAAACCTGGGTTACAATAGAGACCCCAAGATGTTGAAGATGCCAGAACCATAATTTGCCAAGAATAGCTGCGTACAAGGAGTGGAACCAGTCCAAAATTGTTGTTTCTTGCAGCTAGTCAAGTTGGATGGACAGAGCTCAAGTCCCAGACATCTGATTTGGAACTGTGAGATTTGTTGTTTGCCCTGCTAGGTTCTGGTCTTTCTTTGGTTCAGTATCTTCTCACTATGCTCCATTCCTCTCTCTTCAAATGGTAATGTATAGTCTGAACATGTATATATTAGAAGTGTGTAATTTGCATTTAGATTATATGCAGGCAGGTACAATTAAGAGATCACCTTGAGTCTCAAAAAAGACTTTGGATTTTGGACTTTTGAGTGGGATTTTAGAAAAAATTTAAAGACTACAGAGCATTTAGAAGTTGGACTAAATACATCTTGCTTTATGATATGATCATAAGCCTATGAAGGCCAGGAGATGGAATGTAGTGATTTGAATGATTAATGTTTCCCATTGACTCAGGCATCATAACATTTGGTCTCCAGTTAGTGGCACTGTTGGGGGAGGTTTAAAAAAAATGTGACCTTGCTGGAGGAATTACATCATAGGGAAAGGGCTTTGGGGTTCTATAATGTCACCCTGTAGGGGGATTTTTCTACCTGCCAGCTCCCAAACAACCTCACAGAGACTTATTATTTGTGAAAGCTCAGCCAATAGCTTAGACTTGTTACTAACTAGCTCTTACTTAAATTAACCCATTTTTATTAATGTATACGCTTCCCCATGCTCGTTTACCTCATATACATACTGCCCATCCTGCTCACTCTGCATCTCATGGCATCTCCCTTTCTTCCCAGCATTCTCTCTGTCCTGAAAAATCCTGTTATTCCACAGCATCACCCCATTTCCGATTTGTTCTCTCTACTTCATGCTTGTGGTAGATATATGATCTCTTCATTTTCCAGCTCCTGCCACTTGTAGACATGTCTCTTGGTAATGATAGACACTTATCTCTCTGGAACTGTAAGCCAAATTAAATTCTTCTTTAGGCTACCTTGCTCATAGTATTTATCACACCAACTTAAAAGTAACCAGCAACCTAAAAGAAACCAGTGCCCATTAGCAGTGATCTGCTAACTTCCCATTCCCTTAACCTCTAGGAATCACTAATCTACTTTTGTGTCTATAGCTCAGACTATTATGGACATTGTATAAGTCAAGCTATGTAGTACCTGGCCTTTCGTGACTGCTTTGGATCACCTGTGTTGTTGTCAAGGTACTTCGTTGTAGTCTTTATTGATACCTCGGTCCCTTTGGGGGCTAGATAATAAACCATTGCGTGAGTATGCCACATTCCTTACCTATATGTCAAATGATGTGTGTCGGCTGTGAACATTTACTTGCCATGTTGTCACGGGGACATATGGTTCCATATCTCTTGGGGATATAACAAAGAGTGGAATTTCTGAGATATGTATATCTTTTTCTCTGTTTAACATTGAACTACCAAAGTACTGTTCACAGTGACTGTGCTGTCTCACGTTCCTGTCAGCCATATGTGAGGACTTCAGTTTCTCTAGATGCCAGTGGGCACTTAGTTTCACTTTTATGTTTTGTAATTGGCCGTCTTACTTGATACTGGTGGTATGCCATGGCTGTGGTGGTTCTTATCTCCCTGATGTAGGCTGGTGTTGAACATCTTCCCTGGGTTTACCATTGGTGTGACTTTGGAGAAAAGTCTCCTAGAATCTTCTACCTGTAATTGTGTTGACTTATAATTAATCGTTCTTTTTGTGCTCAGCAGAGCAGTCCCTTATGAGGTCTTCTTCTGTTTTAGCTGATATAACAGGTGAGCTGGTCTCTGAATAACAAGACTTATTTCTTACTATTTTAAACATTAGAAGTTCAAGATCAGGGTAGCAATCTGGGTAGCAATCTGCTGTCTTGTGAGGGCTGTGCAGACCCTGGAAGAAACGAGTGCTGTGTTTGTTTTTCTTGATTTACATTAATTCTTCCTTTATTCTTGATGACTGGTTTTGCTGGTGTCGAATCTGGGTACACAGATTGCTTTCATCACTTAGCAAACATTATCCCACTGTCCTGGACTCAGGTTTCGGGTAGGGGGCCAGCTCTTTTCTCTCTGAGAAGCTTTGTATGTGACCTGTGAAGAGTCTCTCTCTGCTGTCAGGATTCTTCGCGAGGGCTCCCTGTCTTAGCTTCTGAGTATGGTCTTCCTAGGTGTGAATCTCTCTGAGTGTATCCATCTTAGAGCTTCCTGAGACTCTCAGATGTAAAGCTTTCATGAAAATTGGGATTTTTTGGCCATCCTTCGATTATTTTATCTGTTTCTTTCTCTTCTGTGGCTTGCAGGATGCAGGATGAAGTCCCTCTCGTATTCGAAGCTGGATTCCTGGGTGCTTTCTATTTCTTTTTCTTTCCATTTCTCAGACTGTATAATCTTAGCAAATCCAACACTGAGTGTCTTATCTACAGAGGTGTGCCTTTCGTGAACTTTTGTCATTGATGATGTTGTGCTTTGCTTTAGTTTCTCTTTGGCTTCCTGCTTTCCCATTTCGTGAGACATACTTACATCATCTCTAATTCCTTAGGTATGATTTGCTTTAGTTCTCTGTACATACTTGCTTACCTAAAAGACTTTAATAAATAGAATGTACTGGTACCCCCTGGTCGGCCTTTACTCTTTTAGAGCTCTACTTTTCTGCTTTCTGGTGTGCCTGCAACTTGCAATGCTGAGAATTTGACATTTTAAATATTACACCGCAAGAACCCTGGGAATAGGATTTCCCCTAAGGGTTTGTTGCTACTTCTGTTTGTTTCACTGCCTCTGCCTCTCTTGCTCTTTTCCTGGACTGGTGCCGTGGTCTGTACTACCTGCCTTATATGGGCACTGAAGTCTGTGTTCAGTAGATCTTTAGACAGCAGTTGGATTGTGGTGATTTCCTTGGTGCTGGGCCCTGACCTCTTTCCATGCCATGTGTCTGACACCCCAGCAGACAGTATTCAGTTCTCCTAAGACTTCCTTCTAGCCTATGCAGAAGCCCAGGGTTAGCCTCCAGGTCCTCTCGGGTCTTTCCTGGCTTATGTACTGTCTAGCCCATGTGCATGTGATCCTTCTACATCTCAAAGATATGTTGAAGGTTTGGTGGATACCACATTACTAATGCTTCCTTTAAGGTTTTTTAGTTTACATCTACAATTACTACTAACTCAAGCAGGTGCTATGCTAAGCAATTCCTGGAGTTTCTTAAAATGGAAAGTTGGAGGACTGGGCTTTTTCACAACGTCAGCTCTGGATATGAGGTAAAAAAAATAACAAAAGTTCATCATTCCAGGGAGCTGCTGGGCAGATCAAACATGGACATGCCTAGGAGGGGTCCCTGGAGCAGCTGCAGACACTGTCCCACTTGGGTGCTGTGAGGCTGCTCTTGTTCATGGTGACTGGACAGCTGCTGGATTTTAAGGCTAACATGAACCTGGGGAGATGGCCATGGCAACCATCCTAGTTAAAATGCTAAAAGCTGTATTCTTCTCAGATTGACCAGCCCATTTACACATACTGTACACACACACACACACACACACACACACACACACAAGTGGGAGGGTCATCAGGCAACTGCGAGCATTTGGTTAACTTTCAGAGTTGTTCAGAAAAGGGTGAGTTTGAACATTTTTGTCATTGCTCTCATTGACTTTGTGAATGAGTAGGTTATCTGAGCGCTTATTCAGCTCTCTCAGACATGCTTCCTAAACCCACTGATTTCTCAGGGTTATTTGCATGGTTACCTAACCAATGATAATGCTTACCCCATTCTAGCCGGGTCTATTTGAAATGGCACCACCTGTAGGCGCAGTCCACAACTAATTGCCTCTTCTCATTAAATATGAAATGTTTCAGTAACTTCCTCTGTGATTTTTGTTTCCATGTTGACAGCATTTCTCTTTAACCTAAAGATCAATGAAATATTCTTTTAATGCTGTTATTTTCTCTTTTAAAAAGACTTCTTTCATTTCAAGTGTGTGTGTGTGTGTGCGTGTGTGTATGCAGGTACCCCCAAAGGCCAACGAGGGCATCAGGTCCCCTGGAACGAGAGTTACAGACAGTCGTGAGCTGCCCTATGTAGGTGCTGGGACCCCAACTCGGGTCCTCTGTAAGAGCAGTATGTACTCTTTGACAGTAGAGCCCAACTCCCCAGCCCCGTCTATTTCTTTTTCTTGTTCTGTAGCATCATTCTCATTTCTTAAGTGGAATTTTTTTTTGGTGGTACGATTGTGGTTTATTTAAGTTCATGTTTTTCCTAGTGTCATGAATTGACCTGCCCATTCTGGTCTTTCTAACTTGGGGGCCAGATCTTTGGATATAGGTAGAAATCTTTGCATGTTGCATTTTGTGCTGTTGGTTGGTTGTTTTAGCTTGTGCCGGCCATGCCTAATTAGTAACGTGTCTATACTGAACTGTGGGTCCTTTGTGAGATTTGTAGATCAAATGGAAGCGATCTAACACAAATACTAATCTTTACCACCATAAACAATTTGAAAATCATATGCAGGTCTTCACTATATTTGACCAAGTTTTATACTTTTTTCCATATAAATCTTTAATACATCTTTGATTAGATTCACTCTTTGACACTATACTTGTAAAGCTACTAAAAAAATAAGTTTTAAAAATTATTTCCCCAGCCGAGCGGTGGTGGCTCACGCCTTTAATCCCAGCACTCAAGAGGCAGAAGCAGGCGGATCTCTGTGAGTTCGAGGCTGGGCTGGACCGATAGCCTCCAAAACAATACAGAGAAACCTTGCCTCGTAAAAAAAAAAAAAAATTATTTCCCAATTGCTACAGATAGATAAGGAGAAAAATCTCTTTTGTTTCCCTGTGTATACTTTATATATTGATTTTGTGTTCACAAACTTTACTAAATATGCCCTTATTATCTCTGGATTTAAAGCCAGACAGAATGCTTTGACAAATACTAGGATCTGGGGTGGGGTGCGGGTTAAGTTGCTTCTGTCTGAGGCTCATGGAAGGAGAAGTAGAAATGTAATTTCTAGATCAAATAAAACCAGCAACTGGAAGATTTTGTAGAGAACGGCAGGTTCCTAGGAGGTATGTGGAGACAGCAGGTTTCTCTCCTTCCCGTTCTTATAGCCTTGCTTCTCTGGGCTCTGTTCTTCAGAGACCCCCCCAGCCAAAGTGGTCGTGGAGGAGGACCTTCGTCATATCCCTGAGTTAAGCGCACATTTGGGCACTGTGTGAAATTCTCAAAGAATAAATAAAAAATATGTTAAAATATTAGGATCTGGAGAGATGCCTTGGTAGTTAAGAGTACTGACTGATCTTCCAGACGATCTGGGTTCTATTCCCAGCACCCACTTGCTGGCTTATAACCATCTGTAACTCCAGTCCCAGGGAATCCAGTGTTCTCTCTGGCTTCTGTGCGCACAGTGCACAGACATCCAGGCTGGCAAAGCACCTGCCTGGATAAATAAAAATAAAGGGTAAAAAATAGCTTTTGAAGAAAAGAAGCAGACCATTTATTATTCCGTATGCTTTTTATAGTTTCTATATGGTGAGTCTTTATCAGAATAATAACCGTTACCCATGATACTGTTTTGTAGGCTTCAGTTTTGTTGCTTGTAATAGGTGGACTTGGATTTCATGAGGCGGCTAGAAAACTAAAGCCCTTTGCTAAGGTTTCTGAGTCGCTTTATCTTTCTGTTTTGTTAGCAAAGAGGTCTGTGATCCTGATATCGGCGGCCAGATCTTGATGTGCCCCCAGTGTGACAAGCTGTGTCCATTCTGGAGACTGAATATCACCTGTGAGTCTTCAAAGGTAATTACTACTCTTCCAGATGTATACACAAAATAATCACTTAATCATAACACGCAAATTATCCCCCTCTGAGGATATTGAGAAAGGAGTTCTTAAGTAACCCACCCCAACACTGAAAGGCAGTGTATGGTACACATACTTATTTCACATTTACAGGTAATAAAATAAGTTGAGAGTGACTGCTTGGTGTCAGGGAAAGGAAGTTTGTGGAGGGTTTGAACCTACTGAAGTACCTCAGTTAATCCAAACTCATTCTGAATAGTTTTCATTTCCTCTGGGCTGGGGGCTTGCCCCCACCTCTTAGCTATAGCCTCAGCCATAGGTTTACTCTTGCAAGCATTTGCCTTAACTCAAGCGAGTAGGAACCTAAAATCCGTGCTCATAACCGTATGAACCCTGAAGTCTGTAATCGTGCAGTTTGTGCTTTCCCCTTTCAAAGCATGGGGAAACGATGCTTGAGTTTTTAAAGACCCTGCTGCTCCATTTAAGACTGTTTCTGTTGATACAGAAGGAAGGGTTTGTATCTCAGTGATGGGTAAAAATGCCCCCGAATGCTGTCAAGTGGCGCAAGCTCTTAAGACCCAGGGTCGAGCGTTGAGATAGGAGGGAATGTGCTGAGAAGTAGCAGCCTTAACAGACAGCTTGGTCGTTTAGGTCCTCAGCTTTCAACCTGTAAAATGAGAGAGTGATTCTGCCTACGGTCACAGGTGCTTTTCCTCAGCAGGGAGGGAAACAGCCTGGCCTCTCATGACTGTAATGATCTCTGATGTGACTCTTCTCCGTCCTTTTGTCCTGCCACGGGAGGCTAGGGATTGTTGTATGGCCACCGAACATTCTGACCTATTCCATGAAAGTCTGCCTTTTTTAAGAGTAGTGCTAGAGTGCTTATTTTTCCTTTTTTTAAAATTTAAATTAGAAACAAGCTTGCTTCGCATGTCAATCCCAGCTCCCTCCCTTCCTCCCCTGCCTCCCACCAGGCTCCCCAGCTCCCCACCCAATCCCCACTCCATTCCCCAGGGAGGGTAAGGTCCTCCATGGGGGATCTCTAGAGTCTGTCATTTTGTTCAGGGCAGGGCCTAGGCCTTCCCCCAAAAGTCCAGGCTGAGAGAGGATCCCTCATTGTGGGCTGGGCACCCAAAGTCCATTTGTATGCCAGGGATATATACTGATCTACTACTCAAGGCCCTATAGATTGCCTAGACCTCCTCACTGACACTCACATTTAGGGAGTCTGGATCAGTCCCCTGCTGGCCTCCCAGCCATCAGATTGGGTTCAAGAGCTCCCCCTTGTTCAGGTCAGCTGTTTCTGTGGGTTAAACCAGCCCAGTCTTGACCCCTTTGGTCATCAGTCCTCCCTCTTTGTCACTGGATTCCAGGAGTTCAGTTCGGTGTTTAGAGCGTTTATTTAGTGAGCTTATTCAATATTATTAGTGAGTATGTGCACATGGGTGTGTATGTGCATGGGAGTGTGCACATGCGCACAAGCAAGCGTTAAAGCGAGAGGACAGTTTTGTGGAGTTGGCTCACTCTTTCCAATTTCTGGGGGTCCAAATTACCAGGCTTGGGCAACAAGGCACCTTTACCTGCTGAGCCACCTTGTTAAGCCTGTTTGATACTACACCTTTGACACATAGTGCCTGTGATGTAGAGAATCAGTCTCTCGTTTTACAAGTTGGAACACTGAGGCCATGGGAGACTAAGTGGTCTGTTATGCTCACACGCCTAGAGACTGGCAGGGACAGGAGCCGCAGCAGATCTGTGCTACTCACCAGGGCCACACAACGTCCCTCACAGACTGGTGCCATCGGGCACACACACCCTGTGACCCAGATTTGTGTCTGAAGAACTTGTCCCACTGATAGTTACGATGCTTGTGGCACAGTGTCAGCCTTATCCATCCCTACACTCAACTGATAGTTTAAAAAAAAATTAACTGCCTGCCCCTTGAGCCACGGCAATGCCTAGACTTTGGAGTAGTGGCCTGTGTGTTGTAGACTACACAGAATAAGACCTGGGGGTTGCTGCTGGTCACTGGGTTTTGACTGATAAATTAAAAGGCACTTGTTAGCACCTTCCCAGAGGCTCTAGACCTGAGGCAGGTGCGGTGGTGATGGACCCAGGAAGTCACAGTGGAAGGTCCCTCTTAAGATGTCCTTTCCACCTCCCTCCCCTCCTCACTCAAGATTTCATTCCTTGGACTCCACCTACCCCACCTGAGCTCAGGACTTTCAAGTGTCTTTCATTGTTGGCAGGGTGCCTGGGCAGGCGTTCTTTGGTTCCATTTTTTTTCCTAAAGAACTTCCTGAATCTTGTGGGAGCCACAAACAAAAGGAAGGAGACAAGGACAAGCATCTGTGGGAAAGCGGAAGGGGTGGGGCAGAAAAGAGGAGTTCTTCCTTCTCCCATCTTCCCCCATTCATTGATCCACTTACCAGTTCCTTCTGAAGAGATGTTCACTGACTGACGCGACTCCAGCAAAAGGCTGACTTGGGGCTGCTCTCACTATGGTATCTAGTCCACTGTGCCAGCCACCAATTGACCTAAGTTAGGCTGCTAACCAAGCATGTCCCTTACCACCTCCCGTACTCCTACTCCCATCGCTCTAGTGGAACAAAGCAGAAAAGCCAAATGTCTGCTTCCTTTCCTGTATCCATGATTCTCACATGTGTGAGGAGCATGACAGCTTCATGTGTGTCTACCCCTGCCCTAGGGTACCAGGCATATCCCTCCTTGGGCACTAGGCAGTTGGTATGACTTGTGCCGATTCCAAAATGGGAGTGGCATTGGAAGGGATCTTGAGAAGCAGATTACATATTTGGAATATTTTTCATAGGTCTTCGTGTGCAGTTACTTATAATAAAGGGTAGAACACCATGTTGAAAAACATCTCAGAGCAGGTGGTTTTTCCAAAAGGCAAAAATAAAAGTTACATGAAGCATCATTTGTGGGCTCTGTTCCCCAGGACGTCTAAGCATGACAAGTCCATCTTCCTTGACCCAAAGGAATTGTTTCATGAGACCATTTAGAATCATGATGTTTGACCATGGTCCACATGGATGGTTGAGGGAACATATATCTGCTTTGGGAACCAGGTGGATAAGAACGTAACTAACTAGCTATATGTCTTATGAAAATAGGTAATGATTTTGCACACATGAAAATTACATCACTTTGTTTGAGCATACAAGGCAACCCAAAAAAAACTACCTGAAGCAAAGTACACTTCCTACTTAGAAATGGCTTTGAATATGTTATCACTGTAAAAGTGTCGTTGTTCACTTGGAGCCTTTGACCCTGCCTTTACTCCACACCCACCCACCCGCTTTACTCTTCATATGGCCGCTTGTAAAGCAGTCAGAATACACGTCTCCCACTTTCCCATGAGCTTTGTAGGTTCTATCTTAAGGAAGTTTTTAGGTGCTTGCTAATGAAAGTTGATAACCAATGAAAAGTTTTTCCAGGATGTCATAAGGGCTGTGTGTCTATCAGCAAACAGATCAGCCTTGGCAGCAGTGAGAGAGTGGCCCTTTGTGATAACTGTACTGGTGACATCAGTAGCACCCACACAGCATTTATCCCACTGGAAAGAAGCATGGCAGTTACAAGAGCCAAGCCGTCCATGGGTTTGGAGGAGGCAGAGCGCTCCTGGAGGAGAGCCACAGCCACAGAAACTCAGCTTTGTGTGTGTGTGTGTGTGTGTGTGTGTGTGTGTGTGTGTGTATATATATATATATATATATATATATAAAGATATATATTAAGAAAAGAAGGATTTCTGGAACTTATCCTCTGAGGAGAATGAGGCATTGATAAGAGGCAAATCGTAAAGTTGCTTAGAGGGCACTAGATCCTTAGAGCCACCGCCTGCATCCTTCCCTTCGCTCTGACAGCTCATAAAAGAGGCTTTAGCGGCCCGCAATCTTAGCAGATGCGCCTATTTCTTTATCGCAGCGTAGGGAGATTCCACTAGAAAATGCACTTGGGCTCAGACGGCGAAAGCTGTTTGCCTTTAAAATGTGAGAAATTCCATCTGTGAGTATGTCATACGTGTCACGATTGCTAAACCAGCATCAGCCCTAGCAAACACTCAGGTTGTAGAGCGCACAGAGCGTTATGTATTTGCTGAATACTGATAAGCGAAGGATTCATTTATTTATGTGTCACTGCTCTATTTTCCAGAAATTGTGCATCTTTGACAGTTTTGGAACCCTGATCTTTGCAGTATTTATGGGAGTGTGGGGTAAGTTACCTTTGCCTTTCTCTCATTTTGATGGTGTTGGTGCAATTTTGTGTAAGCTATTAAAGTCGCCCTCTTTTAGGACCGTGTCCTGGCTGAGCGACAGCTCCACTAGAGGTTCGTTTGTAGATGTCATTAGGTTTTACTGTATGAAAATCTACCTCTAAAGGCTGAGGCTTCACCAGCACACCTGGTTCTCTCCTTTCATTATTTCTCTCAATTCCCTGAGTCACACTTGGCCTGGCTCAGCCGGTCTCTGTGGTAAGCCACTGGCTTCACTATAAAGAGGTGATCTGGCAGGAAGGAGCCTTGCTTGGTCTGTGGGATTCCATATGGTTTCTCACCCTCGAATGGCGTAGCCTAGGATTCTTTACGAGGCTTCAGAGCCACAAAAGGAAGCAAAGGAACACAAGTGCCAATGTCTGGAGCTTTAAAATTTGCTGTTTATTCTTTGAGAATGTCATATGTCTACACAATGAAATGTCCGTCCCCCACTTCTCCTCTCCAGTCCCCCCAGATCCTCTCTCAACTTCATGGAGTCCTTTTCTTTTCTAAAAGACCCACTAAGTCCAGCTCATGCTTCCTGGGTGTGCCACCATCCACTTGAGCATGGGCAACATACCTCTGGCCACCCCTCCAAAGAATGATTCTCCCTCTCCAAGCAGCTACTGAATGCCAACAGCTCCTCGGTTAGGGGGTGAGGTCTTGTGAGCTGGCTTCTTTTTTGCAGGTCTCCTGCAGATAACTATAGATGATATGAGTTTGTGAGTGCAATAGCCACCTCTTCCCAAAAGACAACATTGTGTGGCACTTTCCCCTCTCCTCTGGCTCTCAAATTCTTTTTACCGCCTCTTCTGCACTATTACCTTGGTGGGGGGTCCAATAAAAGATGTCCCATTTAGGGCTAAGCATTTATTCTCAGTATTTGACCACTTATAAGAGTTCATTAACTGATGCTTGTACAAGGCAAAACTTCTCTTCTGGGGTTGAGAGCAGCCCAGATCTATGAGTTTAAATTAAATATTTACAAGACAGCTTGAGCCAGGCAGTGGTGGCGCACGCCTTTAATCCCAGCACTCGGGAGGCAGAGGCAGGCAGATCTCTGTGAGTTCGAGGCCGGGCTGGACTGATAGCCTCCAAAACAATACAGAGAAACCCTGTCTTGTAAAACCAAAAAAAAAAAAAAAAAAAAAAGACAGCTTGATAGCATAACCATTTAGCAAAGTAACAATAGAAGGTCCCACCCTAGGGCCTATGATCTCTTCAGCCATGGGCTTTTAAACAGGTTTGTGGTACCAATCCTGAAATCTCCTTTGTGAAACACACCCTGATCCAATGAGAAAACAGTTGGTTACCCTGTAAAAGTCATGCCACTGTTGCTCTCTGGGCACCAACTTGCTAGGCAAGGTGTACCCACACACGCAACAGTGGCATTGAGTCTCTTATTGCATTGCTTGCTGATGTCCCAGTTCCCTCTCCCTCCCCTCCTCCCGCATCCCCCCATCCCCCCCAGCCTCCCACCCTATCGCCACTTCCTTCCACATAGGGGATATATAGAGTCTGTCATTTCATTCAGGGTAGGGTCCAGGCACTCCCCTAAGATCCAGGCTGAGAGAGCAACCCTCTTTGTGTTATGGACACACAAAGTCTGTTTGTATGCCACAGATAAACACTGATCCACTGCTCATGGCCCCATAGGTTGCCCAGGCCTCCTCACTGACTCTCACACTCAGGGGATCTGGATCAGTCCTATGCTGTTGGTCTGGGGTCCAAGAGCTCTCCCCTGTTCAGATCAGCTGTCTCTGCTGGATTAAGACACTTCTATGTTTTACTGGAAACCACACTCTGGGAAATGCCACAGAAACATAGAGAGGGCTCGGGATGTACTCTTGCCTGGCATGAATGAGACTTTGGGTCAGATTAGGGTATTAAGATCCTCTGTGTTGCCCTCCGCTATTAGAAATACATCCCTTTCCCCCAGTAGTAGTGGTGGAGCTATGCACGGGGGTCAGCACTCTTCATGTTGCCTGAGCCACAGCTTGTGATTGCTATGATTCTAAACAGAAGGCATTTTAAACAAAGCATATATATTATGTAATATATTTATAACATGTTAATTATATATAACATAATATAATGCTTTATATAGATTAATGTGTTGGTATATCAAAATTAATATATATTTATAATATATTGTATTAATATGTGTGACATATTAATTTTAATATATCAATGTATATTAACTTTTATGTATAACTTTTATGCAGGAGAGGCAATCCTCAAATTTCCTAATTAACTTTACCTTCTGTGACCATTAACTGCACCCTGGCTAAACTGTCCTACATCTGGCTGCCGATGCATCTTGTCTGACTTTAGAATGCAGAAAGTGCCTCTGCATGGCTTGTAGCATCATATGTACACGTCTCTAAGCATGCGTATTTGATGAATTCTCTGAGTTCTTTATGTCGGCTTCCTTGTCACTTCTGCCTTGTGAGGACTACCGCTGTGAACCTCATTACAGAAAGTCTGAAGTTGCAGAATGGAGGCAGTGGGAGGCTCTCAAGTCATTACTTACCACAGCCTTTCCATTCCTGAAACATCTTCGCACAGTGTATCTGGCAATGACTATTTCTCTCTGTTCTCTAGAAATGAGAAACGTTGAGGGTAGGAAAACTTTTGCAATTGGTAAAGTACCAATCATGTACTTAACTTAGAAGTATCCCCCATTTAAGCTGTACCAGCCTGGGAGATTGTGCTGACTCTAGAGTCCTAAACACAAGCAGTAGTTAAAGATGCTGAACATGAGCCAGCCCTGCCATTCCTCCTTACCTGACTCTCCTGGCTTAGACATGTGGTTATACGATCCATTTTTCAGTGGTCACATGTAGGGAATGATTTTATGTATCCGTAAGCACTGACCACTCCTGTGTGGGTGTGTTCACGGGTATGTAGAATGTACAGGGGATAAACAGAGGGAGAGGGAGGAGACTTTTTCTCTTTGGGTTTCAGTTTCAACCTAGAGAGCAGCGGGTGCTGACCTTTGGTGCTTAGCTTTCTTGGCCTTTCATGTAAGTGATTCTCTCTTTCAACAAATATCATAGGACATCCCTAAATTTGCATAGTTTAATATTTCTGCTTCAGTCACATGTGAAGGCAAGTTTTATATAAGGCCTGCTGGTGTCTGGGAAACCTCCAGACCCCTAGCTCCTGAAGACCCAGGAGATTAGAAGGTCCAATGACCCGCACCTGGGGATCAAGGAGCTGACTTCTCATGGTGCTCCCAGGCCTGAGATGTCCCTGCTGCTCCCTTCTCTGTCTCCATTTGAGTGACACGTATACATGGCTGGTGAGCATTTAAAAAGTCATTTCTAGAACCCTAGCTGCAAGAGAGTCTAGGTTAGAAAGATGAAAACGGGGTGATCAAGCTAATTGACCTTATAGAACATTGTTAATAACACATTCTGAAAAGTTAGAGGCCTTTTAAGACATCTCAGGCTCTTACAGCATCAGAATACCTCTGTCTCTCAGAGCTTATGTCTTGCCCTTTTATGTAAGAGAACATAATACTATACTGCTCTCAGCTTTGTTGTATGTTTGGGTATCTTCGTCTGATACGTATTTTCTTTTGATGCAATACGATCATAATTAATAGAAGTTATTTTGATTTTTGAGATCCATGCAACCCTCCCTCATCTCTTATTATGTTGGTGGGTACTGAGATAATTTTAACTACATCTAATTGACTAGAGCAGTGGTTCCCAACCTTCCTAATACTGTGACCCTTTCATACAGTTCCTCATGTTGTGGTGACCCCCAACCATAAAATTCTTTCATTGCTACTTCATAAATGTAATTTTGCTACTGGTATGAATCATGATGTAAATATATGATATGCAGGATATCTGATATTTGACCTTTAAAGGGGGATTGTTCAACCCCCCTCCCCAAAGGAGTCTCAGGTTGAGAACCACTGGGCTAAAGCCTCCTGGTGTGTGCTCTGCCTAGGTACTGAAGTACAGTGTTAGCCAGTGGAGCTTGGCTTACTGCATTACAAGAACACAGAACAAAATATACAGAACAGCAATTCTTCCCATTCAAGACACTCTGCATAAGAACCTACACTGAGCAGGGAGGTGGCAGTACATGCCTTTAATCCCAGCACTTAGGAGGCAGAGGCAGGCGGATCTCTGTGAGTTCGAGACCAACCTGGTCTACAAAATGAGTTCCAGGACAGCCTCCAAAGCCATAGAGAAACCCTGTCTTGAAATCCCCCCCAAAAGAGATGAAAGAAAGAAAGAAAAAGAACCCACACTGATAGTTCCTAGGAGTACTCTAAAACACTGGGTAATTGCACCCCCAGAGAGTTCTTGGCTGCGAATGAAATGAAGAGTACCACTCCGTTCTTGTAACCCCTGGGGTTTGCCTTCAAGGTGGAAAATCTGCTAACAACTCTGTATTTCCCACCTGGTCACTTGCTCACTTCAAATCCAGTCACTTCCAAAGCATAACTGCCCAGGAAGTAAACAGCTGTCAACTCCTAAGGTCAGGAGTAGTGGGAAGAGAGCCACTATTCTCTCTTTAGGTGTCAATTAGAATTGATCATGTTGCTTTTTGAGAGAAAAGTTATTTTAGTGAATCTTCCTCTATTGATAGAGTTGTTTCATAGATTCTGTGTATGTCATGATTTTAAAACTTAGAAAAATGACTCTTGGGTAGTTTATGTTGCCCATGGCCTATTCAAATAAGAGCTCGATAGAATGTTTTATTTTTCTCAACCTTCAATCAGTGATACATAAAGTATACACCGGGCAGTGGTGGCATACACCTTTAATCCCAGCACTTGGGAGGCAGAGGCAGATCTCTGTGATGTCCAGGCCAACCTGGTCTACATGGTGAGTTTTAGGACAGCAAGGGCCACATAGAGAGAGCCTGTCTCAAAAAAAAAACAAAAAACAAAATGTACATTAAAAAATTTGCAGCAAGGTTTTTAGAAAGAGGTAAAAATGTTTGCATTTATTGATTTAATTATATTATATTTTAATATGTTTATATTTTGCTTAGGTTCAGAAAACAGGAATGGGTTAGAAAATATCAATCCCACAAAGAGGTATCTGAGTTAAATGATCAAATGGAGAGCTACATCCAAACACCAAAGAAATACCTTCTCTTAGCAGCCCATGGAGCTTTCTCCAAAATGGATCATATCCTAGCACAGATATGAGCAAGCCACAGAAATGAGAAGACTGAAATAACTATAGAAAAGATGTGGACTGGGGAGATGGTTCCACATCTGGTTCTGTTCTTACAGAGGACCTATGGTCAGTTCCCAGTTCTGTTTTAGGCCACTCCCAACTACTTGGAACTCCAGCTCTAGAGGATCCAGTACCTCTGACCTTTACAAGAACATGCACGCAGTTTTTAAGATAATAAAAACACATTTAAAAAGCAGAACAGACAACCCCTTGAAGATCAAACAACACAATGTTAAATAATGAATGATGGTTCATTGACGAAAACAAGAAACAACTCCAAAAAGTTCTGAGACTCAGATGAAAATTAAAACACAACCTACCAAAACCAGTATGTGGTACAATGAAAGCAGTTGTAAGAACACTTATAGTTACAAGTACTAACATTAAACTATAAAAGAGGTTTCAAGTAAGTAATTTAAGGTGCCTTGGGGCCTTGGGAAAACAAGAAATAGAGAGGCCCAAAATCAGTAGGCAGAAAGAAATAATTTAAATGAGGGTAGAAATGAATGAACTGGAAAATAGACAAACTAGACTCAGTGAAACTAAGCATTTGACCCAGGTCGTCTGGTGTAGCAGAGTGGTGAAGGTGAACTTCACCCAGAGGTGAGCAGGCGGCGAGAGCTGGGAACTCTAAGACTGTTCCTCAGTGAGGCTGGAGGGGTACCCAGCTTCTGGTACATTCCCTTCAGTTTATTTGTTTATTTCAGTGCATTTGTTTGTTAAGTGCCTGGTGTATACTAGTGTGCTTCATCTGCGAAGAAAACATCCCTGCCTCCCTAACCGTGACACTATGGCCATGGCCACGATCAGCCCAGGCCTACCTGCGTGCTACATACATGTGTTGAAGAGAAAAGGGGTTGATAGAGGAAATAGGGTGCTCTTTGTGAGAGAGAGTATACTAGAATGCTCTCCTAGTTATGAGACAGTGGGGTCAGCCTTTGGAGTGGGCCATATACTTGGCAGAACACTTGGGTAAACTAAAGTAGGCCTTCTGCTTGATAGACCATGTGGGTATTTTCTGAGGAGCTTTAGCTCCATAGTTAGCCAAGGAAGGCTGCCTTGGGGTGGCTCATACTCCCCAGCAGGGGTCTCAGGAAATGTCTGCTTCTGTGGGCAACAAGACTAGCAGTCACAGCTTGCCCCACAAGACTGCCTATTGTCCTGAAGGTGTTTATCCAGTGGCAAGCACTTACCTCCCTTCCCCATAGGCAAGTTTCAAGGACACTGAAGGCCTGGATGCTTTTCAGTGGAAGCAGCATTCTGCCCTCAATGTGGGGACCTGGTTCCAACCCACAGGGCATTTCTGATCCAACTGACCATTGGTGAAGTTGTCACACAAGCAAGACTGGGAAGTGGGTGCTTGAGCCTTTCATTGCCCTTCACCCTTGGAAAGCTTTGCATTCGGGCACCTTCTCCAGCATCCCAGACTTGCCTCCTAGCCTCTGGCTTCCCACTACGCTCTGCAGGACCAAGGGACCAACTCTCAACCTTGACTGCTAATTGGAAGGCAAGAAAAAGATAATACCACCTGTGCTCGGGCAACGTTCCTCATTCCAGGCCCGTTGAACCAGAGTCTCAGGGCTGGTGCCTGTGCTTAGGACTTTTTTTAAGCTCCCCAGTGCCTCTTAAGTGCAGCTCATGTGAGACCTCCACTGTAGACCCCTCATTTAGTGATCCCATCCACCCCCAGTCAGGCCTCAGCTGGCACTTAGACTCCTGACCTGGCTGGCCCTTCCAGTACTCTAGACACCTGCCCACAGACACACACCATCACTAACTGTTTTAGTTACTGTTCTATTGCTGTGATAAAACACAACTTGCAAAAGAATGTTTAGTTGGGCTTTCTGTTTCAGTGGGTTAAGAGTCTATCATGGTGGGGCTCACATCTTGATCCACAAGTCTGAGGCAGAGACAGAGAGCTTACTGGGAACAGTCTGGGGTTTTGAAACACCAAAGCTTGCCCCAGTGACACACCTCCTCTAACAAGGCCACACCTCCTAATCCTCCCCCAAATAGTTCCACCAGCTAGGAACCAAGTATTCAAATATATGAGCCTGGGGTGGAGGGTCATTCTCATTCACTGCACTACATTGGCCCAGTGTCTTCCCTCTGAGATGTGTTCATGTACGACACTGCTCAAGCCAGAAACCCCTTCTAGACCCTTCTGCTCAAGCCAGAAACATGGCCTGCATTCTTGACCCCTTCTAGACCTGCATCCATTCTGTTCATTTCAACATCCTTCACACCTTCTCTGGTGTCTGCGTGTAGGTCTTCCTGCAGCTGTGTTCATACTAGACCGCCTTCATGTGTCTCCCAACCTTTACTAAGCTCCTAGCTCCTTTCAAGGCTCATGATGCCCTTTGTAACCTGCCCTCCTGCAGGTCTGTCACTCGGCTGTCCCATCTTCCCCATCATAACCCTTCAGTCACTGTCAGAATGGAAAGTACCTGGTGCCCTGGCCTCCTTGACCTTTCGTGGACAGCGCCCCTCTTATGGAAGGCTGTCCCTGAAGAGTCTGTTGTAATGGTTCTCAACCTTATTGATGCTGTGACCCTTTAATATAGTACCTCATGTTGTGGTGACCCCCCCAGCCATGAAATTATTCTCTTTGCTACTTCATAACTATGATTTTGTCACTGTTATGAATCTTAATGTGAACACCTGATATGCAGGATATCTGACATGTGACCCCTGTGAGGTCACAAAACACAGGTTGAGAACGGATGCATGGTCCTTTGGATATTTCAGTTGCGTGTCTTGCCCTGTCTGCGGTGCCTGTTGTTCCCATACATCTATAAGTTTCTTTTTCTTGTTCTCAACATCTAGTGGACACTTGAATAGTAATTGTGAATGGAAATGTGACAATTTCAGAATTTTTAAGAAGGGTCAAAGACAGTAGACTAATTAAAAGAGCTTAGGGAAGCTGTATCTTCAGTTAACACAACATATTTAGCTTTTTTGAGTTACAGATTAAGAAAAATAATGATGCCTAATTTTTTCATATATTGTTTAAGCATATTTAGAGGGCACTAAAGTAAGTGTTCCTTTCTATCCCTGTCTCAGAGGGAGGGAGGAAGAGAAGAAATGAGGATGTGGGGAAAGGCCAAACCACGAACTGCTCTTGAGTAGTGAATTCCTTGTGTGTTCAGTTGGTGACCCGTGGGTCTCAACTTTGCATCCGACATACATATTTGCCTTCTGACCATCACCATTACCCCCCTCAGACCATCATGCTTCACAGTATTTGTAAATTGCCAACATCTTTATTTAGAGAAAACATTTCCTGCCTCTTAAATGTTATTTAAATCTATAAATCCATTGTGCTCACCACAAGAGTGGGAGTGGTGACTCCCGGCATGACATTCTGACAGCAACCTCAAAGAGCCGTGCTGTCCTCTTTTCTCTTGTCAGTTACACTGTTTTTGGAGTTTTGGAAGCGGCGCCAGGCAGAACTTGAGTACGAATGGGACACTGTTGAGCTACAGCAGGAGGAACAGCCCCGGCCAGAGTATGAAGCCCAGTGCAATCACGTGGTAATAAATGAGATCACTCAGGTATGTGTCTGTTCTGCTGTTGTGTATGCTCTCCCTGCATGGTCTCAGTAAGGTGATGCAGTGCACTGCACTCCCTGCATGGTCTCAGTAAGGTGATGCAGTGCACTGCACTCCCTGAAGGTCTCAGCAAGGTGATTCAGTACACTGCTCTCCCTGCATGGTCTCAGTAAGGTGATGCAGTGCACTGCACTCCCTGCATGGTCTCAGCAAGGTGATTCAGTGCAGTGTTTTCTCTGAAGTGGTTCACACCACAATCCACCAGGCCATCATAGGGCTTGAACAGTGCAGATGTTTTGGCATCTCTGAGATGCTGAGTAGTATCCGAGATGTGTTCTGGGCACTGCTTAGGAGAGTATGTGTGGAAACCACTGTGGCCCCTCTCTTTCAATAATGTTAAAATGCATATATTTTGGACAGAGAGAGAATGACAGGGTTGTATAAGGTAAGGTGTGTTAGCATACAGATGTCTCAGGAATCTTCCTTGCTGTCAGTTTGCATCCTGAATTTGCTTGTCCCTCTCTCCCTGGTGCTCAGTCACTGGCTCTTTGGGTTGGGATGTTCACACACACACACACACACACACACACACACACACACACACAAAAGCAAACAAAAAGAAAAACAAGGAAAGGAAAAAATACACTGTGACTCTTAATGTAAAATAAAATCAGAAAGGGATGAAGGAGGGGAACACATATTGAGATCCTACTGTGTACCAGCACTGTGTGAGGCATTTGTCACTGGAAGAGTATATTGGCTGCAACTAACTGCTGAAAAAAAAGAAGAAATAACATTACCCATCTCCCTGCTCATCCCCAAACCTCCAAGAGCTGATTTCTGAGTCTCCCATAGTATTTCTGTCAACACAGGAATTCAGAGCTGCCCTTAGTCACCAGTGTGGGAACAGAATTTTGAATGGTAGTAGCTCCTGGAAGGAAAATTCTTTTTACCAAGTGTCTGAGGAAATGTCCCCAACTGTACGGTTCTAAATCAGCCTCCAGATTTTCAGGATGTAGGTGCTAGAAGGGAGGGGCACTTGAACATCCTTATTTTATGAATAGCAGCAGATGGCATTTGTCTCTTGGGATACAGGGAACCCCCATCCTGAATAGTGACTGCTATTTGCTGGAGAGGACAGGGCAGAGCCTACAAGTGAGTATTTTAATATGAAAGCTGAAACTCAAGTGTGGGATTATTAACAGCATATCTATATGAATGAGAACAGTATGCTTACAAAGGTGGGTTGTGTTTGTTTTTAGTTAGGTATAAGATCTGTTGACACAGCTAGAGGTATGGACAGTTTTATTGCATTGCCCCCTTGACCAGCCGCTTTTCTCCATCAGGAGGAGGAGCGTATCCCGTTTACTACCTGTGGGAAGTGTATCCGGATCACCCTGTGTGCAAGCGCTGTCTTATTCTGGGTAAGAAACTGTCACAAGCTTATGCTTAATTAATTTTTTACTGTGTGACAAATTCTTTTAGTATCTCATTTAAAATACCAAGGAAAGTGCAAGCTGGGTGCCTATGTGTGGTCTTCCTTCAGAAAGGTACATGGTATCATCGAGAAAGATGACTCCTAAGTGATCCCTGGCTGCCACATGGAGTATTGCCAGGTGGAGACACCTCCCTGTCCACTGCAGTTTTTCTATTCCTTCTACCTCATTCCTGCCATCAGGTCAAGATTTCCAGCTGCTACTGAAGAAACCAAGTGCGGGGCAGTGAGAACTCTATGAAATTGCAACAGCAACAATTAAAATTTAAAAAGTGTAGGAATTTCCATAACAAAAAAATATGCCAAAGAAGCCAGCATAAAAAAACTAAAGAAAGGAAAAGAAGTTTGAAAAACTGGTTTTAGGTGAGGGAGGAAAAAAAAAAAAAAGACATTGCTAAAAGATACTGTTAATACAGTTTAATGAGAGCTTTGTTTGACTTAGGGGAAAAAAAAAAACCCAACAGATTAAAGAAGGGGACATGACAGCCAGATCCAAGCCCTGTCTCATGATTTAATGCATAAGAAAGGGAGGGTTATAGATCCAGACTGAGTTAATGAACAGTGGGAATGCTTGCTAGCTGTTGGGGAAGGAAAGGTCAGGTCATACTTTGAACCACATGCTATGATAAATTCCAAAATACTTTTTTAAACTGTAAGCCATAAACTAGAAATAAATCTAAGTGAATGCAGTCTGTAGGTCTAAAATGACCTTCTAAACTTTGCTAGCAGTGGAAGACATTTCAGAGAAGAGTAAAGATTTCGAAACACTGAATTTAAATGAAATGCCAGAAGAAATACAAACACACAGAGAGATGAAAGGACTGATACCTTTAGAGTGGAGTCCGAGTCAGCTGTGAGATGGTTACAGGAACTCAGCATTAGGTGATGTCATACGTATGTGTGCACCAACCCAGGCAAACACAGTGACCCATCTGGGGAAACATCCTGACCCTGTGAGGATGGGTGCACACAATGAGATTCTCTTTTCTACCTCCTTGGAGATGCCATGTTGAGGTGACAGGCTGCAATGTCATCCTCTCCCACTGGGACAGGTGACTTTGTTTCTCCATCTTTCCCAGAAACCAGGTTGACCGTGTGTATTGAGCCAACAAAACAATACAGAGGAACCCTGTCTTGAAAAACCAAAAAAAAAAAAAAAAAAAAGACACTCAGAAAGATTTATATGTGCTAGCTTCGTTTAGCTTTTAGAAACAGTGAATCAAGAACTATGTCAAAGTTCAGAGTAGCTGCACTGATCTGTAACACTAGTATTCACAGAGCCAAGACAGAATGGCTTCAAGTCAGCCTGGGCCACATAGCAGGATTGTGTCACTAAGGATAAGGTGTTATAGAGAGGTAAGATTTCTTCACACATGTTATCTCATTTTATAACACACGTGCACACACCAAGGCTTATACGCACACGAACACCACAGCCAAAAATGTCCTTACCCCTTCAGACATAGCCAGACATTGGAGTATTGTACATCCTTGCAAAAACATGCTCATGAAATATCCCATGACGTGAGGAAAAATTTTAAGGTTTATGAGTTAAAGGGAAAGATAAAAATACAAAAACTGGCTTTTAATATGCAAATAAGGCATAGTTCTGGAAGAATTTTGCTTTTATTTTAATAGTGAGCGATCTTACCTATTTTTCTTTATATTACTTTTTTATAATTAAAAGGTTTTTTTATTGTAGGCAATAAAGCCAATTTCCATTTGGAATGTATGATAATGAAATCAGGGAAGGTTGGTTTCAATTCCTGAAACTGAATTCCAGGTCTGAGGTATAATTTTGACAAGGGCTGGTGACTGTAGCCTAGGTAGCATCCAGTAGACACCCAGTAGGCTGAGAGTTTAGAAGAGGTTGATCCTACAGAGCAAAGTCAGGCTTTTCTTCTAGACAAGGAAGGCTCTATGTCTGTCCACCATAGGGCACTTTCAGTGAGCACATCCTACGGCTAGATCTGAAAAATGTCAACATCAGAGTCAGAAAAAGGTAAACTGATGGGAGAAAGTACCCTGCTTTGAGCAGATGCCTGGAAAGTTGTGGAGGCCTTCCAGGATCATAGCAGGCCTGGGAGATACCAGAGCCCTTACCCAAGCCAAGGGGGAGGCTGAGCCGCCAGGCTCTGTATCTTTGAGCCCCCTTCCTGTCAGCTCACTCTAGAACAAATCTTTACTCTTTCCAGCCTGTGTTTCTCCCTTCTAACACTGCCTGCTGTTCCGAGGACTTGTGAGAATTCAATAGTGAAAGGGTGTTGAGGTTGGCAGTAGGCAGCCAAAGGGTGCTCTTGTGATGAATAATTAGAAAAGTAATTGTGGGGATGATTAGTAGAGAGACATAAATGGCCTGCTTGTATTATGCTGGGGGAGGAAGACACTACATTTTTCCAATTTTTCTCAGCCTCAGCTAATTTACACATACACACACACACACACACAATCCTTTTCATTTCACAAGACTTAACTGTGAAGGAGAGTTGATAATGAGCAAGATTACAGGGAAACACAATGCCTTCTCTATACACAGATTGCACAGCAAGGAGGAAAATGTCTTTTTAACACTTTGGTTGCCATCATCACAGCTAGTACTACCCAGTGCTTTTCCTGGGCCTTGGTGTGGTGCTCTCCCTGTAGGATTTTGTCCACTACATGGGAAAGTGAAGCCTGGGAGTAACATGTACAAGGTTCCACCGCCAGTGCCAGAGCTGGGCTTCACGTGCAGGAAGTCTGTCACTCATCCCTGTACGTTTCTCTGCATATGTTGACATGTGCTGTGCCTTGCTTGGTGCTAGACTTCCTGTTCTCCATATCTTTTCCCCGACTCTCATCATGAGCATTCAGACAGAGCCCATGATTCTGAAGTATGTCCAAGAAAGAAGATATAGGGGGCAACTTGAAATGGCCTCTCCAATAGTGTCTAAATTAGTGGTTCTCAACCTTCTAATGCTACGACCTTTTAATACAGTTCCTCATGCTGTGGTGACCCCCAATTATTAAAATTATTTTGTTGCTACTTGATAACTATAATTTTGCTACCATTATGGATCATGATGTAAATATCAGATATACCTGATGGTCTTAGGCAACCAATGTGAAACGGTAATTCAACCTTGAGAGGGGTCAAGCCCCACAGGTTGAAAACCACTGACCTAAATTCTGCTGTATCAAGTAAGGAAAGGGTCTTTAACCTGAAATTAGTGCTGACCAGAGAGAGAAAACCTGTTCACTGAGAAAGTAAAACCCTGCCATGGACAGGCTGTGCAGCATGCCACCCACTGGCCCTGGGAAATAGGAGTCAGAAATGTGGCAGGTCTGTACAACAGAGCTTGTGGGACTGCAGGTGAGAATAGCTTGAGAGTGTGAGAAGTTTGAACCCATGTGTGAAAAGCATGAGCTCATAAGGCAGAGGCTTGCTTCCAATTCATCAGCCTGGTACCTTGGCCAGCGCTCCAGTTAGACCCTGATACTCCCATGGTAAAGGCAAGCCAGCCCATGCTGACTCTTTGGGACTGTCTGATAGAAGGAATGGTTCTTCTTAGAGCAGAACTGAAGAAGCCCCAATGAGTCCAAACCTGAACCATTGAGTATTGTACAAGGGACGTTTTCATTACTACTGTGATGATGAACACTCCTTCGACTGAGGATGTTGTGACACTTTTGTGCTGTCTGAAGATCAACAGTCCTTCTAACATAGACTTTCTATCTTGGCACTCTTAGTTTTATAGGACAGTTGTATAGAATATGTAGTAAGGGGTACCACATCTCTTGCCTGGCACAGTCTGACCGTCAACAGTATCCCACTCTGGTGAATGTTCCCTCCTTGGTTTCCATGTTTCTTCCCATCCTGCCCCACTTTCCAGCTCTTCCCCGGCACTTCCGTGAGATGCCCTGCCCCTTGTTTATCTAATCGCTGGGCCCGTCTCGGTGATGGTCTGACTCTCGCTGAGGCTCACGCTGCCGATGCTGGTACTTTCAGATCCTGCTCATCATCGCATCTGTGATCGGCATCATCGTCTACAGGCTGTCGGTATTCATTGTGTTCTCTACAACCCTCCCCAAGAACCCCAATGGGACCGACCCAATCCAGAAATACCTGACACCGCAGATGGCCACATCCATCACAGCTTCTATCATCAGCTTCATCATCATCATGATCCTGAACACTATCTATGAGAAGGTGGCCATCATGATCACCAACTTCGGTGAGGTCCTGCCCCGCTGGAGCGATTTCCAAAAGATTTAGAGAACCGTTAGCTGTCATCTTCATTCCTGTAGGCTAAGACTGTTAGGAAATTTTGAATGCAAACATATTTTCTCTAGCCCATATGGGAAGTATGTTATGTGCATCTTTGTATTAGAAGAAGGGACATGGCAAAGACAATGGTAGGAATATCCAGGCTCTGTAAACACATTGGGCAGAAGAATATGTTCCATTACATTAGATCATGTATTCTCATGCTAGAAGTAAATAGTTTCTACATTACATTAGATCATGTATCCTCGTGCTGAAAGTAAATAGTCTCTGTTGCAAACAAGTGGAACAGGGTCACAGCTCCAGTGAAAAGTGCAGTCCTCAAAGAGAGGACAAGCTGCCGCATGGGTGTCCGTCATCCCCCATACTGTCCATGTGAATACGGTTCTCAGCAGCTCTGCCTGATGCAATGTGTGTTGCTTCCGGCTGGCTTGCATCCCAAGCAGCTGCTTCATGGTTTCCCACACTCAGCACGCATCCGGGTATTCTCAGAATGACAGTCACACTGGCTGAGATTCGTAGTTAGGAGGACAACCGTTTGTGCTTCCCAGATGCCTCCACACAGTTGCTCTGTCCCACTGTTTCCAAGAGATCTTTACAATTCCAGGGGACAAAAGAGGTGCCTTTACTTGGCAGTTCACAGCTAATTTTCTGAGGGGCTGGGCATGTTGCTCAGTGACAGCATGGATTTGATCCCTAGCACCAGAAGAACAAAAATAACTCTGGGGTTTTAGAACAAAACCGTTCTTGGCCATTTGACTGTAAAAGCATTTTTCAAGTTTAAGGAGCAGTTAAAAAGTGTGTGTGTGTGTGTGTGTGTGTGTGTGTGTGTGTGTGTGTGTGTGTGTGTGTTGCTTGCCATGGAGGATATTGTGTTTAGATGGGATGAGAACTCATAACAATGTGTAAACTCAGAATTAACACAGTGGCTATATTAAGAAGTGGAAAGCAGATTAAACGGGAACAGTGTGAATGAACTGTATTCCTTCCAGGGTGTCATCTCAGAGATCCAAGCCTTTGATTAGGGTCTCAGAGCTGTTCAGGGTCTCAGCATCTGTCTTGTTGTTTGAACTGCAGAACTCCCAAGGACGCAGACTGACTACGAGAACAGCCTGACCATGAAGATGTTCTTATTCCAGTTCGTCAACTACTACTCCTCGTGTTTCTACATTGCTTTCTTTAAGGGCAAATTTGTCGGCTACCCAGGGGACCCAGTGTATTGGCTGGGCAAGTACAGAAACGAAGAGGTGCGAAATACACAATCGCGTTACTCTCTTGACAGTTGGAGCTGCTGCTCGCTTTCTCTCAGCTGCCCAATGAAAGTGACTTCCTTGGGTTATTTCTGGGCTATTTTTAGCCTAAGAGAACAAATAGAGATGTTAATGCAGTGCTCCTTTGCAAGCGACACACCTGAAATCTAAATATTATTTCCTTTGTAACATGCCAGTGCGACCCGGGTGGCTGTCTCCTTGAACTGACTACACAGCTGACAATCATCATGGGAGGGAAGGCCATCTGGAATAACATACAAGAAGTGCTGCTCCCGTGAGTACTAGATATGTAGTCCTGGGTGTCAGGATGGGAGGCCCACCCACTGAAATAATTTGCCCACGTAGCCATACGTCTTCCTCTAAAGCAGGCTGGAACCCATTGAAACTAAAGGCCTCTCAATGAGAAGGTCTAACCAGTGGTTTATACGTGTTTAATGATTGTATACAGGGGCTCAGCAGATGGCTAGGTTGCAATGTGCTTCCTGTGTGAGCACAAAGGCTGGACTTGGGAATCCCCGGTACCCATGTAAAAAGCCAGGCACGGTTGTACATGCCGGCAACCTCCTCCATAGGATGTAGAGACAGGAGGATCCCCAGAGCTCACCGGCTAGCTCTGGGATCAATGATAGACCATGCCTGAAAAAAGCCGGTGAAGACTAATTGAGGAAGACACCTGTTGTCAACCTCTGGCGTTCACGTGCTCCTGCACACACATGTACACACAAGTCAAGCACAGATAGTAGTTCTATAAGACCTTCATCTTCATACTTAACAGAAACCCCACCTGCTGTAGTTCATGCCTCTTAGGCTGTCACTGGCATTGACTCAGCAGAGGCCTCTGAGAAGGGACCCATGTTAGAGCTGTGAACTACATGTGGCCACACATTCAAACAGTATCCTCCACCCTCGTGCATCTAGAAGCCAATGATAGTAACGTGTTACATGCCCAATATATGCCAGTCTCTGCAGCAAGTGCTATGTTTTCATGTGTATGTTGATGTGCACATGTCTACGTTTATATAGTTTAATTCCATAGCTATTACTTTAACCTTCTTTTGCTAATGAAGATCTGTGGTTGAAAGAGGTTAAATGGTTTACCCAAAATCACACTGGCAGTGAGGTTGTTAGCTTGGGACTCAACTCCAGGATCTCATGACTCCAGACTCAGTGTTGTCAAGAATAGATGTCTCTTGTGAGCCCCAAGGCATCAGAAACTGTTGCCATCAGGGTTTTGAATGGTTTCCCTAAGAAAATGAGACCAGCAGCAGGGGCCGGGTGCCCTGCAGATAGGTAGCAAGGACCCTGTTATGGGATCTGTCAACCGCCCAGCACCGTCTGCATTTCCTGCAAACAGAACACTTGATATAAAAATTTTCTGTTGCAATTTAACAAATTATTACAAAGTCAATGGGTTAAAATAAGATTCGAAGTCTCCCAGCCCTGGAGGTCAGATGTCAAACATGGGTCTCACCGAGCTAACACCAGGGTGCTAGCTAGCCAGGGCCTTTTCTGGCCTCTCGGTCACCCAGATAGACCCTTCCCTTGGGATGCTGCCTGGCATGCCTCTGCCCGCTCAGTGGTTCTCACCCTCCCTACGTCATCCAGGATGGCCGACTGTCCTACAGCCGATGCTTCCATGGGACCCAACGCTCTTCAGATCTTCTGGAGATGGGCAGCGAACCTCCTTGGGACAGTGTTCTGACCACACCCTTACGTTTTCAAAGTAGTTTCTGGCTTCCAGTTTTGCTTTCACAAAACTTCTGATTCCCCCTTCTACATGCCTCCTCCGTGAACGCTTTCTCTTCCATGTCAACACCAATGCAGAGTGTCACCTCGCCTTAACGGCCTCTCGAGCCACTCACTCAAGCACGAAGGTAAACTTAGAGTCTTTTACCCCACTAGGTAGTGAGATACATTTGCTTAAAGCTCACCACCTGGTTTAGGCTGAAGCCTCCTGCCTCTTCCACTGTGTTCCCCCACCACAGACAATTTTGTCTTTCTCTGGCGCGAATCTCTGTCTTGTCCCTGCATTGCCAGGTTGCTGGTCATTCTCTCTGGGATGGTTAGCCGCCTGGGTCTCAGTGTATCCACATCACTGGGGCTTCTTCCTCTTCAGTGGGAGCTGTCAAGGCCCTTCCTTCTCCCAGCAAAGACAACCCTGCCATCCCAGGAAAGTGTGCCAGCTTTAGCTGTGAGATAACTGTAATCCTGCGGCACAGAAAACAACCCTTCCTTTCATCAAGTTCATATCCGTGTTTTTCCAGATAAGTAAAAGCAGGTCATGGGCAAATCATGCCGTTTCAATATGAAAATGGATTTTTTTAAAAAAACACTTAACTCATTCTTGTACGACTAAAGCAGCATTTCCTGAGCCAAGTAGATTATTTAACACTGAATGGTTTTTGATAAGTAACTGAATGGGGAGGGTGTAGTTCTAAATCAATTCTGAGGAATTCTGACATCAAGTAAGCTTATTATTAACAAGTACAGAGATTTCCATTCTGGCCGAGGATAATGATGTCATGTTTTTAATTCCCTTCCTCTGGCTTGAAACCTGAGAATGCCAAGTCTCAGAGTAGAGTAATGTCCCTGGGGCTGTGACACTCTGTGTGGGCCAGTTCCTTAGTTCCACATAGAGTCCAATAGAGTGGTATGCCCGTTGCCCCTGCCTCCCAGTACCTCACCCTCCTGAAGAGTATTGGCGCCAGGGAAGAGCCGTCACAGGTTCCATATGAGGTCACTATGTCAAAGGAACACAGGAAAGGGTATTTAGTCAAATTCTGAGACTTGGTCATTTCAGGTCCACACCCTTCATTTGGCTCTGCCTCCTAGACTGAGCTGAGCCCATACATAGACTGGTCCCAGGTACGGCGCAGGCTGGGCATGAGCCCTGGAGTGAGTGTCTCATCGACCTCAAATGTAATCATCAGTGATTGATACGATGTTTTGCTGGACCCAGAGAATTTCAGCCCTCCGGTCATCCCAGCACTGATATTCAAGGCATTCTAGGTACTTTCTTTTTTCTTCACAAAAGACGGTATTAACATTAAAGAAAAATAATGAAAACCCTAAGACACCTGGAACATTAGTGTCTGCAGCTATTTAGCCAGGGGATGGCTATGATGTTTTTTTTTTTTCCTTTATGTATCTTTTCTCTTTTCAAAATGACCGTGCACTTACATAACCAGAGAAAGGACTGTTGTAGTAGAAAATACCAGCCTTCAAGAAAGGCTGTGGACAAGGCCTTGCTAGTCACACTCACACTTCACAGGAACATTGACTGTGGTATAGTCACCAAGGGATGTGTGCTTGTAGGTGGGATATACCTTAGTGGAAATGGCACCTGGCTCTAGTTTGATAAAAGGCCAAGAGAAAGTGAGATATAAAAATACCATCACAACTCAGTGATGGGAAACTTAGTAAATATGTGTTTTGTTAATGTTATGGTAAATGTGTACAGAAATTCCTTTGTGAGAGGGAAAGGCTCTCTGGTGGATTTTGTTTTTTATTTTTTTTAAAGATCTGTGGTAATTCTCATGTGAAGTCAAGGTTGGATCTGACACCAGAATCACAGCCCTGTTTTATTTTTGTTGCTATTGTTTTTAAACAAAAACAAAGAGACCAAACAAACAACAGCAACTGAGAAAAAACTCAAAAGACTCAGGGCAAAGATGGATGGGTTTCTATTAGACTTGAATGATTCAGCTCAGGAGAACACAGCAAGAGGCTTGGAGTCTTTAGTTCCTAAAGCCAGGCCAAGAGTCTTTTGCTGAGGCCTACAATGTGTGGGAAGACAGCATGGTGGGAGGGAGGTATCTACTGAGTTAGGTGTATACCAGGACAGAGGTGGACTGGAAGCCCCAGAAGAAAATGCCTGCTCTTTCTAGAGCTGGACAGTGTGCAGAAGTGGCTGGGGAGTAGGAGACAGAGCAATAAAATAAACCAGTGGAAGTCAAGCCAGGATTTGTCATGGTTTGGTGTCATGAAGGCTTGTGTGAGGTGTGGTCCTTGGGTACCACCTGTGTTAAGGTCTCCTGGAATGGCTACAGCCTCACAGATTCCAGGTCTTTGGGTTGACATAGAGGAGGCTTTGCTGTCCACAAATACTCCATACCTTGAAACCAGTGTCCCAGTATCATAGCTCCATCTTTAGTAACCTCTGTTAGCTTGTATTGGTCAGCAGGAAGTCCTGTGAGTGTGAGGAAATGCGCTGGCCCTTTTTACCTGTCTCAAATTCCATTAATCCTGGCCTCAGCTCTGGCCAGTGTACTTCAGCACATTTTAACTTTACCAAAGTAGCTAGGAAGCAGGAGTGTGTGGGTGCGGATTCAAGGGTTTCAAGTCTCAGTTCTTCTATTTGCCCAGCCTCCTACAGAGGAAGTAGGCAGAGATGGAGAAACCAGGGCTGTGTTCTGTGGAAGAGCATCTGCTCTGAGTAAGCCTTACTAGTGAGTCCTCAGTGTCAGAATTTCAGACACACACAAACCTGTGTCTAACTCACCAAAGTGTAGGAGATGCTATGTGTGGACTTGAAGCCAGCTGTTACTTGATGGGGTGGAACTTCTTTGTCACAGGTGCATGGCCAGTTCTGTTGCCTTCTCAGGTCTGGATTCAAGGAAGATTGCCCTGCAGATGGATCAGGGACATGAGAAGCATGATGTTCAAAATGAGAAAACAGGCAGCTGGTTGGGAGCAGTATGAGTGGTGTGTAGGGCTGGCTCTGCACCCTGGTCTAAAGGGCATGCATCTCTTCCATTATCCTGAAGCTGTTTGGTTCAAAGCAGAGTCTGAGACCTAGTTTATAACTTTTGTGCATAGTGTTCCGCAGTAGCCACTCCTTCCTAAGTTAAGAACACACAAATCCTCACTCTTAGATCCTAGCCTTGCTTCCTCCTTCCAGGAACAACAAGAGCATTTGTGTTGTGCTATCTGTCAAAGGCAGGTCTGCTCCTGCCTCAGGCTGTCTCTAGCCCCCAGTCCCCAGCCTGGGGGTTCTAGCCCTGCTGCTCAGCCCTCCGCCTCCTTCATAGGCTCACACTTGATGTCACAAGATGAGCATCCCCAATTCTCCCTGCACAGTGTTACAAACGGAACTTGTCTATAGCAGGTATCAACTGTTTGTATCGATATCTTCATTTGGCTTGTTTTCACTGATCATTGTCATGCTGAACAAAAATGTTTTTAATGATTAGAAGGGAAAAAAAGGAAAACTGAAGGCATTTAGCATGCAAAGGAAAAACTAATTTCTTGGGAGGATTACCTGTATCAGCTTTGAGACAGCAAGAAATACTTCATGATGTGGGTCTGACAATATTTGTTCTGATTTATAATTTGATTTTCTTTTCTGACAGATGGGTCATGAATCTGATTGGACGTTACCAACGAGTTTCAGGATCAGAAAACATAACTCCACGATGGGAACAGGACTACCATCTACAGCCCATGGGCAAGCTGGGGTTGTTCTATGAGTATCTTGAGATGAGTAAGTATTCAGTAGAATATGCTGGGATATGTGTTGGAGCTGAAGGAATCTGTGGTTGAGCCACAAAACTAGCATATTGAATATGTTTTTCTCCACTAGACAGAAGTAGATAGTAGAGAAAAACCAAAGCCTAAATATGACAGCTACAAGTGTTTTCGTTAGTACTTACATTGTTCAAAGCTAAGGACTTATTACCGGACAATGAAATGGAATTTTTCCTGAGGTTCTATTTCACTGGAACTTCTCAACGCATTCTGTCCATGTTGTCTGTGAATGGACTCCATCATTGTCGTTAGGTATGATTCATTCCACTTGGGCAAGAGTCCATGCAAGCACTGCAACTGGCCAGAAGAGAATCACTGAGCAAGCCTGTGAGAACATGGTCCCTCATGGCAAGGAGGGTCCCTGTCCCCTTTCCATACCTCACTCCTGCTTTAGATGGCCTCTTGTTTCTTCTGCACAGGGACTGTTTGTATGTGGTACCTTGAGTGACCCTATGAGTTCTACTGGCCTGGAGTTAGGATTTGGCACGGGGCTCCCCCACCTTCTTGAATGTTTTGTCCATTTGTGGCTTACCTGCACAGGCTCTCTTTCTTCATCAGCTGGGCATGGTTTTGAACTCTGTTGCCTGAAACAGATGCATCTCAGAACAGATTTTCATCAGAAACACTAACCTTTCTATTGGAAATGGCATGCTTATCACTAAGAGATGGCTAACTATTTACATTTTGCATCTCTGCCCTTGACCTATCCTTTACAATGAGTCATAATGTTTTAAGCTTGAAGGAATAGGAAAACAAGCATAAAATCTGACAGGCCTTGTGTGTATATAAGGCTTTATGTTTCTACCAGGACAGTGCTTCCTACAGATAGAGTATGATTTAATAACCTACCTACTATGTATAAAATATCTTTTAGAAAATATGCATAATACACAGAAAAATCTGTTTGTCTGGGTAATAAAGCAGTCCACTTTGTGTGTCAGCCTGGGGCCAGATTTGAAAATTGTTGCTTTTTATCAATGTTGGGCTTTATTAAAGGCGCAGCATCCGTGTGGAATGGATTGCAAGACAATTACTAACATCTCCTACCAGAGCCGTTATCAGCATTAATAGTGGCTCCCTGGTGTAGGTTGTTTTTTATTTGAGCCTCTCTCCAGTACAGTCTTCAGAGGAAGTCATTTTCCCCCAGTTGATTAGTTAAATGAATGGCATTATGGGGGAAGTTACATAACCATGCTTTGGGGAGAAGATGAACAGACGTTTAGAACTTCATGGGCCTGTTAAATAGTTATGAACTAATTAATTTGGTCTCATCCTGCTCTATAATGCATGTATGATAGCCTATCATAACAGCTGCTATAGGCAGACTTTGAGATTCCTTACAATACTTATAGCCATGCCAACAATCCCCAATGACTTAGAGAAGCTTCCTGAGTTTGCACATAGACAATATATTACATTGTATTTGATAACACAGTGAAGTCTGTGTTTAGTCCTTCCAGGCTGTAAAAGGTGCAATTTTCAGTGCCCTTTGATTTCCTGTTTCATGTCTCTAAAAATAAATATTGTCTCTGGGAGTGGGGTCATTCCCAGGTGACCTTCACAGTGTTCCCCCACACTCACCAGCAATGCCACCTTCCCGAAGGTGCCTTCCACCAACCATAGCTCTTTTCCTTTCTTTCCTGTCTGACTGGCTCTTGTTGGACCTCGGCAGATCCAGTCAGCTCTTGTCTCTGCTTTGCTGCTCATGTAGGGCCAAGCAGCCCTGGTTCCCATAGTCCTGTGCATGCATGAATGCCTCTCCCCTGCTAGACTCGTCTTCCAAGCCCTTGGCACCAGTACTTGGAACCTAATACTTACAGATAATTGTTGACTTCAAAGCATGTATGCAGCTGCTAGCCAATCTTACATTTGCATTGCCCTGCCTACTCTCGATGCCCACTGAGGCTGTGTGACCTATAATTTTTGTTCTTGTTCTTATTGCTTATTGCTAGCAAAGTTTTTGTTTTGTATCTAGTACATATCCCCATGATTTGCAATTGAATGATTCTAAGGTATTAGCCAGAGTTGCCCAGCAGAGTGTTAGGCCCTCACTCTAAGAACTTAAGGTACAGAATGTAAGAGAAGAGCAGTTATTGGTCCTAAAACTGGAAGCTGAAGATACTGTTTGGTACCTGGGTTCTACCTGTCATAGACACAGATCTCTTTGGTGACATCCCATAGTTGACAGATGGCATAGTGAAGGATACTAAAATGATGTAGTGAACCCTTGTGTTTCTGGACTGCCTTTTCCATCTTTGCCTTGTTAATTGGACCCATCTCCAAGCTAATTTTCCAAAGTCATGACAATAATGGCTATTTTCATTTCTTTCCTGTTGCTGTGTTAAAATGCCTGAAAGAAGCAATTTAAGTGAGAAAGGGTTCATTGTAGCTCACAGTTAAATGCACAACCCATTGTGGTGGGAAAGTCCAGGCGACTAGAGCCTAGAGCAGTCATTTACATCACATCTGCAGAAACAGAAGGATGTATGCACGCTAATGCTTACCTTGCTTTCACCATCGTATACCGCCCAGGAGTCCCTGCCTACAGAACAACCCTGTCACAGTCAAAGAGTCCCCCTACATCAACACATGTAATCAAGATACTGCCTGACAGCCATGCCCAGAAGCCCATCTCTCTGGAGATTCTAGGTCCTGTCAAGGTGACAGCACCAAGCATCACTCTGGTCTCCATATATTCTTTTCTGCATTACTTACTGTTGTGAATGTCTCAACTCGTCAGCATCACCTTGGCTCACCCCCTGTATCCCTGTACCACACCTACAAAATGTCATGCACTCTGAGGCCTTTGGGTCTGCCTTTCTTCTTTGCCTCGTGTGTTCCTGTCCACAGCCTGCAGGGAAGACTTCCAGTCTTTAAAGGAATAGCTTTCTAGCATGGCAGATAGGGAACTCCTGTCTCTTCTTCGAGTAGCCAGTGTTGAGTGTACCACTGTTGTATTTGCCGGAGATGCTAAGACTTGGTGCATGTTCTCATGGAGCTTGACACACAGTGGTTTATGTAAGAAAAGCCAAAGTGGTCAAGCAGGTGGTGTTTGAGTGTGATTTTGAAAAGTGAATGGTGGTCTCAAAAGTATGGGGAAGGAAATGGACGATGTCACCCCTCTGATTACTTCAGTTGTGTAGACAAAGCAGAGAACCAATGATGGGAATATCAGGTAAACTGCAGACATATGTGATGGCCTCTGTATACATAGCTAGGGCTTGGGTTTCATAAGAAAGAGTGGAGGGTTGTGAGAATATTGGTAAGCAAGAAATTGTTATCATGTTTTTATTGAAGGTCAGGCTATTCCAGGAGCAGAGTAGAAGCTAATTTGGATAGGGGTCTACGTATTTGGTGGGAGGACAATAGTAAGGAGATTACAGCAATTAGCTCTTTGGTTGTTTTGTTTTTGAGACAGGGTTTCTCTATATAACAGCCCTGACTGTCCTGGAACTTGATTTATGGACCAGGCTGGCCTTGAACCCACAGAGATCCACCTGCCTCTACCACCCAAGTGATGGAATTAAAGGCATGCACCGCCGCTGCCACCACCTGGCATTGGCAGTTAGTTCCTTTAAGTGATGAGTGCCTGAACAGGGGAAGGTGGGTACACAGGTCAGACAGGTCAGGCACTAAGCAGCATGGTGCAGTCACACGGGAGGCAGGCCAGGCAGGCCTGCATGGATGTGGGCCACACATGTGCTTGGTGCCCAGTGAGGTCAGGCATGCCCAGCAGCAATTGTGAGAGACTACCAGATGTTGAGGATGCCAGGGCAGAGGGGGAAGCAGGTGAAGAACCTGAGCAGGGTCATTTTTTCGGAGAAGACTTTTGAGGATGACATCATTGCACAGGGGGGGATTCGAACAAGGCAGAGAGGTGCATACGACAGGAGGGAAAGTCGGCACTAAAACACCGTTAGTTGACTGGGCGCACGCCTTTCATCCCAGCACTCGGGAGGCAGAGGCAGGCGGATCTCTGTGAGTTAGAGGCCAGCCTGGTTTACAGAGTGTGTGCCAGGAGAGACTCCAAAGCTACACAGACAAATCCTGTCTCAGATATTAAAAAAAAACAATTGTTAGTTGCTACAACTGGGAAAGTGGTTGAAGCCCTATGGGTAATTAGTCTTTTAGAGGCTCTTATTCAATATATAACTTGGCTTTTTAAGGTAAGCAAAACAAGTCAAGGAAAACCATCATGGAGAGGGAGATGCTTGGTCCTGTCAAAAACTGTCTGTCTGTATCAGGGTCAAGAGTCTCCTAGGGTTTGGAATGTGCAGCCACTTTCAGGGAGACACGAGTAGCTTCTGTAGCTTCTGTGCAGGGGTGAGGGCCTGTGGGAGGTAGAGCTTAGGAGATGGATGAGTGGCGGAAGTGTCCAATGGTTTGCAGTCTGCTTGTTGCTAGCACGCCTCCAACATTCTCTGAACATCTTTATATCCACACGTTTCTGCTTCTCTTTGGTTACTAGATACATCCACTTTGTTCTTTTTTAAAATCCCAAGCCGTGAACCTGCTTCTAATGATCTTACCATGAAAAGGGAGTATGCTTCAGATGCCTCACACATACCAGAAAGTAACTGCAGTTGATCCAAAGTTTCCAATACGTTGTTTCTTTTGAGTGACTATGTATATGAAGGAAATAAGCCGTACTTGGTCCCTTTCTTTAGATCTCATGTTTGCGTTTTGTTTAATTCATCTTGCTGTGAGCACTGAGTTACGATTGGCCATGAATGTGTCTCCTCACTCGCGTGGGTTCTTTGCTTGCCTTTTTTCTTTACAAGGGTAAAAGGAAATACGTTGTCCTGCCGTCTGTCATCCCCTCCATGATATGTGTCCATTCCGTTGACAGTTATTCAGTTTGGGTTCGTCACCTTATTTGTGGCCTCTTTCCCACTGGCTCCCCTGCTGGCTCTGGTGAACAATATATTGGAAATAAGAGTGGACGCGTGGAAGCTGACAACCCAGTTTAGACGCATGGTGCCAGAAAAAGCCCGGGACATCGGCGCGTGGCAGCCCATCATGCAAGGAATAGCCATCCTGGCTGTGGTGACCAACGTGAGTAGGCCTGGGACCCACAGGGGCTGCCTCCCACTATTACTTTAGGGGTGTGGGTGTTTTGCCTGCATGGATGTGGACCACACATGTGCTTGGTGCCCAGTGAGGCCAGAAGAGGGAGTTGGAACCCCCTGAAACTGAAATTTCAGACGGTTGTGAACCACCACGTGCGTGCTGGCAAGAGAAGCCGGGTCTTCTGCAAGAGCAGCAAGTGTTCATCACCACTGAGCTATTTCTCTAGCCCCCAGTATGCTTTATAATTATTACTGACTCACCACCTCAGGCCATCCTCCACGGGTAGTATTGTGATAAGTACTGACACTTTTGACTCATATGTGACATAAGAGGCATCATCAAGGGATACCTTTAAACATAGACAGATATGGGTTTACTCAGTCAGAGCACCCTAAAAGCACCACATCATATATCACTACATATTCTGATGACATCTTAAATATTACTGTGATGAAGGAGAAATTGGCCATCAGTTAGTCTCCAGGGAAACAGCTCTTATGGGAGGTGAAGCAGTCCCTAGGTCATGGTGCAGCAGCCTCATGACCGCATGTGTCGCTGGCTGTGAGAGAGCACAGCAGGGTTGTGCAGCCTGTTCAGGTTGCTTGTCTGGGCACGGGCCAAGAGGCAGCTTTTAGGCCGAGCAGTTTGATGCTAGCCCACCGAAGGATCCTTTGCCTACAAAAATGCCCTCCAAACCAGGGTTATCCCCGCCCATATTTCACTACCAATCTCACTGGGCCAACTTCCCGAACAAAATGACTTTTTAATTTCGACGTCTTAAGCCACAGTTGCTGAGTCCCCGTGAACTCCTGTGGAAGCAGAAGAGAGAGTGGCAGGGTCTGTCTCAGGCTCTGGAGGAGGGAAGTGGGCGGTGCAGTCAGGCCCGTCCGAGCCCCGTCTGAGTTCCACTTCCCACACTGCAGCTTGAGCTATGTGATCTTGGCCCTGTACACTTCAGAGCCCCATTTTGTATTTGTTAGATGAATTCTGTACTCAGCATGATTTGGGAAGTCAGTGAGTTACCACAGACACACGGAGCCCGGTCCTCGCTCACACAGTTGCTGCTGTTTAACTTCGTTACCCGACGTCATTAACCATGGCTCCCCGAGGACTCTGACGGGAACCTCAAAACCAGTCACCCCCACCCCACGGCTGGATACAATGAAACAAGCTATGTGGAGCACAGCTGCTTTCTGAATTGCAGGCTACCTCTAGCTTTGGGGAACTGATAGATTAAGTCAGTTTCCTTTCACCCAAATAGCCCCTACCTTCAATGCCCACTGTGTTTCAGAATGAAGACTGATGTTTAGAGCCATGACTGCAAGGCCTTTCAAGTGTTACAGGCATGAGAGCACGGATCTGTCATATCCAGTATGCTACACTACATTAGGCAGGGCAGGAATGTGGATCTGTGTGCTTTAGGAAGACTTTGGGCAGGAAGGTTTGAAACTAAAGGGGTTTTTGTTTGACCTTCAGAAAAAAAAATTGATCTGGTTCAAATTCCCAATTCCTCAAGCATTCTGGAGTCCTTGTGTTAGATACCTTCTCCCTATATCCATGCCATGGCTCTACTCCATAGCACAGATGGGCCATTGGCTGGGTTTCCAAAGCACTGTGTGTGTGTGTGTGTATGTGTGTGTGTGTGTGTGGTGTTCACACAGACACACACATCCACTGGCTAATTGGGACTGGTTATTTCTTTTTCCTATACTATACCCTTAAAAACAGCCCCTTACTAAATTTGCATTGTTGATTAAACTATGGAAAACCCTTCAGTCCACATTGTTAGCATTTCTTGCACTTATAAAATGCATTGTACATATGCATACAGGTAACCATGAAACATATGTTACCCCACATGTATAACCCTCCCCCTGACATACCCCATGTGATGCCCACAACCTAATGTGGAAGAAGGAAGAGAGGCCACCAAGATAGGAGATGCCAAGCAGGCGTGTGCCGTGAAGTCATTTGAGTTAAGGCTGATGGTTCCATAAATAAGCACAGCTGACATTGTTGTGCCTTGCCAGAGCATCTGCTATTGAAGAGCAATTTTAATTTATTTTGATATAAATGGAACTTGTGTGTAGAACAGCATGGGCAATGAGGCAAACTCCATTATGTGTATTCTTGCCGTGTTATCTCAGAGCAGCTCAATTCAGGGGAAAAGGTACCTTGTCAGAAAGTGAGAGCGTTATCTTCCTTGTTGGAATTTTTGTACCTTCCTGAAGCACGGCTTCCCATGATTCTGTAAAAAGATAGTGTTGAGCTAAATGATAGCAGGAAAACTTCATCTGCTGAAATCTAGCACACACCAAATCTTCTTGTCTTACCTCACTGCTGATAGGGCAGGCAGACACACATGCATGTATGTATACATATATATATACACACACCCCTTACTGCTGACAAACAGACATGCATACATGCATACACACACACACACCCCTCACTGCTGACAGCAGATACACATGCATGCATGCTTAATATACATATGAAGATTCATACACAATGCTCACTGCTGACAGGCAGATACGCATGCATACATATACATATGAAGATTCATACACAATGCTCACTGCTGACAGGCAGACACACATGCATGCATGCATACATATATACGTACGCAAACACCTCACTGCTGACAGGCAAACATGCATGCATATACACACACCTCACTGCTGATAGGCAAACACACATGCATGCACGCATACATATAAGCAGATATACCTCACTGTCGACAGATAGACACACCTGCAAGCATGCATACATACACAAGCATACATACATACATACACCTCACTGTTGACAGGCAGACATGTGTGTGTGCGCATGCGCGCACACACACAGATTCTTCACATCACAGAAAGCAAGGAATCTAGCTTTAGTGGGAGGTGGATGAGCTTAATTGTTTTCTTGCTTTGCCTGAATCTTGTTTGTTGGTTTGTGGTCTCACTGCAACTAAACCCTGTGTCCAGATTAATACTATTAAAAATCACTTTGTGCCAAAAACGTATCTGTTCTTGTGCTACAGCTGGTGATTGGCCCTTTGTCCTTCCTGCAAACCAATTTCACATACCGAGTTAAAAGTCAAATTGAAGATCTTTGGGGAAGGTCCATGTAGTTATAAATAGGCTTTTTTATCCAATATGCTTCTTCCTGGGATAGACACAGACTCCTAATTGACCCATCTATTCCTTCTATGCAGGAACATTCTAAACTGTGTTATATAATAATTTATGACTTCAGAACTTTATCTAGTTAATCTTTTGGAAGTTTGGATGCTCAGATACTAGATGTTTTAAAGCTAGCATTATTTCCTGACTGAGTGACCAGAACAAACCCAATATAGTTTACCAGACCATGGATTCTAAGCAAGTCTAAGACACCATGGGGGTAAGGAGTGTGAGTTCAGTGGCCATTCTACAGCTATACATTATTCAGTGTTCATTCTTCTTTGTGAGAAATAAGTGATTTTATGGTGCCACAGGACAGTTACTCGCAACAAATGGTGTATTTCAGAAACTCAGCAAGCAACTACTGGGCCTTTCCCTCATGCCCCCCCCTCAGAGTGGAAAACCCCCCCAAAATGTCTTCTACTTTAAATGTGTATGCCTCCCACTTAGAAATGCAACGTGATAAAAAACAGTGATTCTGTCATACAGCAAGCCATATAGCTACCACTCTAAATTAACATTTCCTTTCCCATTTGCCACAACACAGGCCATGATCATTGCTTTCACGTCAGACATGATCCCTCGACTGGTGTATTATTGGTCCTTCTCCATCCCTCCCTATGGGGACCACACTTACTACACCATGGACGGCTACATCAACAATACTCTCTCTGTCTTCAACATCACAGACTTCAAAAATACAGACAAAGAAAACCCATACATTGGGCTTGGCAACTATACCTTGTGCAGGCAAGTTTTGATTTACCTGTTTAAAAATACACTTCATCTTACGCGTGATAATATTCTATCTGGTATCATTTGACACTATGTTAAGACACAGTTTTCACATGGCTTTCTTTTTAATAATACTCAAAAAATTAAAACTAATAGAGACCAAGGGTAGGACTTTTAAACCAAATTTGAAAGGCATTCAAATGGATACATCATAATTGATAAAAGGCCCCCTGAACATGGGTGTCAGTTGGGAGGTCTGGGTAGTCTATGGGGCCTATGGCAGTGGAACCAGTATTTATCCCTAGTGCACAAATGGGCTTTGGGAGCCCATTCCCTATGGAGAGATACTCTCTCAACCTAGATACACGGGGCCCTGCCCCAAATGATGTGACAGACTTTGATGATCCCCCGTGGGAGGCCTCACCTTCTGTGAGCAGTGGATGGGGGTGGGATAAGGGGTTGGTGGGTAGAATGGGAGGACAGGAGGGAGAGAGAACTGGGATTAAAAACTAAGATTGTTTTTAATTTAAATAAAAATTAATTTAAAAAAATAACTGATGGAGAAGAGCCTTGTGGTCCTTAGAAATGGAGATAACTAAGAGTTTTATGCATTCAAATCATTCAGTTCTTAAGACTGCCTTGTGAGGCTGGAGAATGTAGCATGAGTTCTATGTGGTCTTCATAACAAAAGCCCAGAGTCAGATATAGGGTTAAGTGCTGAAGATCAGAGAAATAAAGGAACACAACACAGCCACCTTACCTCCTCAGTTTCCCAGCCGAAGAGAGACCGAGTTCCTGTCTCCTCCTGCCTTATCACTTCTTCTCTCCATCCAGCCATATCACTTCCTGTCTGTCTGTACAGACCTCCAGACCTCTGTGGTTAGTTAGTGGCTAGCTCCGCCCTCTGATCTTCAGGCAAGCTTTATTTGTTAGAGTATAAATAAGCTATCACCACAGGGGAATGTAGCTCCATTGGCATCTCTTGCCTAGCTTGCACAACACATGAAACCAGGAGTAATGGTGCATGCCCGTAACTCCAGCACTGAGGAGCTAGATGCAGGTGAATTGCTTTTAGTGGAGGCAAGCTTGAGATACATAGTGAGTTCAAGGCCAGCCTGGGATACATAGCAAAACTATTTTAGTAAAATAAAATAGAAGAAAGAAAGAGGCATGCAGGTTGTAGCTCAGTGGTTGCCTCCTGTGGGCATGGCCCTGGGTTCTATTCCCAGCAGTGAAAGGAAAGAGAAATAAGACAGCTCAAGGTCAAAGCTAATGATGACACACTGTCACCTCACTTAGTACAGACAAAGATGGATACAGTGAGGTGTCTCCAGTGCTCTGCATTGGTGGCTGGAAGGTCACCATGGATAGTGCACCCCAGCTCACTTATCAGTCGGTAGTTTGTTGAACATGTAGGTCATGCAAATTTATTTTCTCTATTACAGATTCTTAAACCCAAATTCATTTAAGTCAACCGTTTGAAGCCATTCTGGTTCAAGTTTTCAATAATACAACTGAGAAGTCAGAAAAGGCCAAAACAACTGTTCTAAGTGGTCTGCCTGTCCGGGCTGTACATATTTCAGTAGTTATGTCCTTGTAGGTCTAATAGTTTGCAGCCAGGAAATTAGAAATGGTGCTATGGCCCAGTCAGCCTGATGCTCCCTTATGGAGATGTCAGATGTGATGCCCCAGATAGCTAAATTGTTTTATGTCTTTTCAGAAAGCAGGGATAAAGCGGGAAAATATGTAAATACTTTGTTACTTTATAAAGATGTGCCTTATTTTACACAATTAGAATCCATTATTTTCTCAGTAAGTTACTACTGGAAAAGTTTCCTCCAGTATTCGATAACAAAAGTGAACTTTAAATGAAACGTATGTAATGTCCAGTTTAAAAATCATGGCATCAAAGAAGACTCTGGTTTTCCATTGGGCCCTGATTTACAATACTAATCAAAAAGACGTGTCTGCTAATATGCCTGGTTGTGTTTTCAGGTACCGTGACTTCCGAAACCCACCCGGGCACCCGCAAGAGTATAAACACAACATCTACTATTGGCATGTGATTGCTGCCAAGCTGGCTTTTATCATCGTCATGGAGGTGAGAGAAGTCTGCTCCGAGATGGTCTACAGTCATGCATATTCGTAGGCCATCTATGTCCTTTGAGTATTGCAGACTCTATAAGATGCATAATCCTTCCTTCTTACTGGCTGCTAATAACTGTTTGAGGGCAGGGGCTAATCAGTGTTGACCTGAGAATAGATCTTCCATAACACTCTGAATGAAATGGCCGTCTACTTTAAATGTGAAAAAGTGTGCTGTGTCTAGGGAGATTCGGTCCCACTTGATGTAGTATTAACTGGGTGTCTATCGTACTTCAGGGCTCTGAGCAGCAGCGTGTTAGATTGTGAAAGGCTTCTGCCCGTGGAGCTGTGATGTGTCAGTGTTACCATTCAGCTACTGTATGTAGCACACCAATTCCTTCTAGTGCTTCTCTCTCTCTCTCTCTCTCTCTCTCTCTCTCTCTCTCTCTCTCTCTCTCTCAAGTTAGCTCTGAGAAGATGACACAGCTGTAGATTGTCACAGCTATAGTTTGTCAATTGAACTATCCAGTGTCTTTCCAGAGCGGATTAACTAGTAACAAATTACAGAGCCTCAAAACTTGTTATGCATAGAAAGAAATCAGGCCTTGCTTTCTTAAACCACTATAGGTAAGTTTTCTGTCATGTGTAAACACTAATCCAACAAATTCAGAGGCTTTGCAATCTGATTTTTTTTTTTACTACCAAAGACTAAGAAAATGGATGACAGAGGAGAGGAACATTTTCCATAAGTAAAACATACTTCACAAAGGAAGATGCAGCTCACCAAAGATAGGAGCCAGAGAAAAAAGGCAGGCAACTGACAAAGGAAGCTAAGATTAGAATGTTAGGATGGGGGAGGATTCTTTGCAACAGCCGCAAGCTGGAAACAGCTCTAGTACTTCTGAGCGCCGACTTGTAAGTGCAGTGAGAGGGAATAACTGAAAATTTTCCACAACAAAAACTACTGGTAAGCCGCAGGCCTTGGCAGAAAGACTCCTGTGAAGCTACAATAGCCTAGATCAGAGATTCTCAATCTGCGGGGCATGACCATCGGAAATACGTGTTTTCCCATGGCCTGAGGAACTGAGACACAGGGCAAAATTACAATTATGAAGTAGCAATGAAAATAAATTTATAGTTGGGGGTTCCTAAGACCATCAGAAATGTGTGTTTTCCAACAGTCGCAGCCTACAAGTTGAGGACCTCTGACCTACATCCTAGACGCAGACAAGCATAGGCACAGAGGGGAAACTGTTGGACATAGTGGCAAGTTTTTATCCCAGTGCTGCCAGGCAGAGGTGCCTCATCCCTGGGACCCAGGCCAGCCAGAGACACACTGTGAGACCCTGTCTCAAAAACAAAACATCCAAACCTCTAAAGAGAAAAGAAACACTAAAGCCCTTCTCACAGGCTGATACAGAAGTCCTCGTAGAATGTGTATACTGAACCTGCAGGATATGTTTCCAAAGACAGCATCGTGCCATATTGGCTTTAACCAGAAAGCGAAACCCACCGCCTGTGAGTGTTAGCAACCTCTACACAGATGAACGTGGAGGCGATGAGTCTTGCCCTTCCTCTGTGGTGACCCACCCATCACAGCCTACTGCACTCACAACTCTGCTGCTCTTCCCGCTGTGAGCTCAGGGTCCCCAAAGTCACGGCAGTGTTTGCCTTCCACACTCCCCTTCCTCTTTCTCCACGCTAGCCATGCCTTCACTACCTATGTAACTGAAGCCCATCTGGCTGTGGTGACCGTCCGTCCTCTGCCCTGTGGCGAATCCCTTGAGCAGCTCCTCCACCCACTTGTTACCCAGTCGTGAGCACCACACAGCCAACCTCTGACTCTCCCATCAAGCATCTTTGCTCTCAGCTTCGAGAAAACAGGAAAGTGAGAATGTAGCATCTTGCCTATGAACCAGTAACAATATGCTGCAGCGTTCCTCTGCCCTTCTGATTGGATCCGCAATCCAAGAGCGAGATGCTTTTCTCTTTCTGCTTCCGTCCACACATGAAGCCACGCCCAAAAGGGTGTGGCCTCTGTTACAGGTTCGCAGGCAAGATGCTACTACTTGAGAATGATAAAGGCCTCAATTCGGCAAAAGGAAGTAACAACCATAGACGGTGCATCCGCGATAGTGGATCATCAAGTATACAAAGATCTGTGTGCTTAAAGGGAGAAGTGGCCTTCAAATCAATGACAGAGATGTTAAACAGTCCCCTTCAGCTTTGAACAGTTTGTCTCTACCAAAAGTAACAAACTGCAGAATTAAGTCTCTCTCACTCTTAGCCATGTGGGCCTGACTAACACCCACAGAACCTGTGCCCACGGTAACACACATGTTCCTCTCTACAGAGCAGCATCCCCAGGGCACGTCACCTGGGAAGCCACAAAACAAGTCTCAGCACATTTTTAAAAATTAAAACCATACCAAGCGGCTTTCCTGAGGACAGTGCAATTAAATGAGAAATTAATCAGAAAAATCTAGGGAAGTACACATGTGCAGAGAAATTAAGTGACATATTCTCAGACAGCCAACAAATGAATAAAGAAGTTAAGAAGATTTTTTTCTTTTAACTTTTAAATAGTGGAAACAAACATGCTAAAACCTAGGAATATAATAAAGGTGGTACTGAGGTAAGTTTCTATCCGTGGTCACATCAGATTAGCAGAAAAAAAATCTCAAATAGCCTGTCGTCATGCCTCAAGAGTAAGAAACATAAGCTTCTCTCCTCAGGTCAGTCGGAGCCCAGTGCCACCAAACCTTCTGCTTGGCTGTCTCCAGACAGCTGCCTTACTCGCGTGTGTTCTCGTACCCACTCCAGTCTACCCTAGACTCTCCCTCTGCTCCAAACAGTCTTCTCTACACTAGAACTCTTCCTCTGGCCATCTGCTCAGAACAGTGTTCTTAGAGCCCTTCCTGCCCCTTTCCCTCCTTCTCACCTCCGCATCCAAGCCTGTTGGCTTTCTTCTCCACAGGAGACCATTGACCGCTTCTTATAGTCTTGCATGATTGCACCGTGCGTTGGCTAGCTTCGTGTTGCTGTAGCAATACTGGCAGGATAGTTTCTTCCGTGGTCACCTGCTGCCTTTGGGCCTCTTCTGAGACAGCACCCCAAACCAGGAGAACACTACTCCCCTTGTGGCAGCCAGAAGGGTAGGGAATAGAATCCCAATGTCCCCTTCAGGTACACACCACAATAACCTAACCTCCTCCTGCTAAACCCCATCCCTTCAATCAAACTGCAGGCTGCCAGCCAAGGTTCAACATGGGGCTTTGAAGAAACTTTATAGAGACCAAGGACCACCAGGCCAGAGGCACCATCATTTCTTGCCTGGCTGGGGTCTGGTCTCTACCTGGAAACTACTGTGTTCTGACCTCAGAGTAAAAGCCAGAGTCTCTACTGTTCCATCCAAGGCCTCACACTGTCCAGCCATGTCTGTGGTCCTCACCGTCACTCCTCTTTCCTTCCAGCTTCGCCATTCTAGATCTTGTTCTGGAAACTTCCCCTGCCCTGACTCTGCCTTCTTGATAACTGCATGATTTGTTCCCTCAGCCCTTAAACCCTTTGATGAGTGATAAGTGTACAAACTACTCCTCATAGTGTCTGTGATGAGTTCAGCATCCTGTCACACCCAGTGGGGTTGCACTGGTCCAGGTTCTCCCAAAGCTCTAAGCACCTTTTGACACTAGGCGCAACCCATTTTCTAAATGTTTTTATGGCAACTCATCTTAATCCAATTTTAAGTGCTCTGATGTCAACTCATCTTTATCCCTTTGGTACCCCCAAAATACATAACGTAACCAAAGGGACTTTAGAATGGTGAGAAACAAACGAAATTTAACTTCATTAGCAATCACAGAAGTATGAAGCCAGACTAAAGTCAGGGGCCATTTCCAAATCAGAAAATTAGCAAAAGAAAAAAAAAAAGTGGGACAGCACAAGTACTGACAAAATGAAACACAGCTGAAACTGCCCTCTGCTGTGGCTGCTGTGTGTGTGAGCCCAGCCAGTGCAACTGCCGGGAAAGTACTTGGTTACTTTGTTAAACTGGACATTCACTTGTCCAAGTATCTCAGCAGCGCCCCCTACAGGTTCCTGCTCCTTAGAACCTTACAGAGAAAGTTCCAGGATCTACATATTCACAAGGGCACCAATGCTAATATGAAAACTGGAAACCAGCCCAATGCCTATCGGTAGGGGAAGAAATATGTTACAGTGCAGTCACCAGGAGCATCATGCAACAGTGAAAGGAAATGAACGAACTACGGGAATGGCAGTGAAGAATTTTAGAAACGAGTTTTGAATTTAAAAGGGGTGTTCTTCCGAAGACTGTGTGGAGGGGCTGGAGAGATGGACCAGCCGTTAAGAGCACCTGCTGCTTTTGCAGAGGACTCAGAAATAGTTCCCAGCAACCACATGGCAGCTCATAGCCATTTGTTAACTCCAGTTCCAGGAGCTTGGATGCCCCCTTCTGTCCTTCAAGGCAATGTACAAGCATGGTACACATGCATGCATGCATGCATGCATACATACATGCATACATATATACATGCATACATAAATACATACAAGGAAACCACACACATAAAAAATAAATTGTTGTTAAATGACTATAAAGTACTATTCTTATAAAGCTCAAATCAAGTAAGGTTAAAAACATTAATAGTGAATACATACATATTTTGGTATTTTTCTTTATAGTAAATATACTTGCACATATAGGATAATATTGACCTTTGGGAAAGAAACAGGGAATTAGGAAAAAGCGTACAAAATACAATAGCACTGTCAGTGGCCTGACTTTGTAACTTACAGAGGATGTGGGGGCATTCATTTTATTTATTTATTTGTTTGTTTGTTTATTTATTTACTACATAGCTTAGATAGATCTCAGACTCAGTCTCTCATGTGCTGGGTGACGAGGTGTCCATTTGCCTTCACCCTTTCTAAGTAGCAATTATGGGGGTGGAGATGCACACACTAGGGATACACTCCTCTCCATGTGCCAAAGAAACACAGGATAGCTGAAGGCTAACAGGTCATTCCTGATATCCTGTTGCTCGAGACTGAAGGGTTACAATACCTGCCCTGTCCAGACACGCTGCCAAGATGACAAGCAAGGATAATCTTAAGGAGGTGGTGTCCCCCCCTAACATTGTCTTCCCTCTCTCCCACAGCATATCATCTACTCTGTGAAGTTTTTCATTTCGTATGCAATTCCAGATGTGTCAAAAATCACGAAGAGCAAGATCAAGAGGGAGAAATACCTCACTCAGAAGCTGCTTCATGAGAGCCACCTCAAAGACCTGACCAAAAACATGGGGCTTATAGCCGAGAGGATGGGAGGCGCCGTTGACAACAGTGTGCGGCCAAAACTCGAATGAGGGGGAGTGTATGTCCAGAGAAGCACTTTAAAAAGAATTAGCTGTCGGACGTATCTCAGATCACTAGAGAGGATGTTCACTCACTCAGGCAAACAGGAGTCTTCACTGTGCCCATTTCTGCCTGTATTGCTTTTCAGTTTCAGCTAGCAGTGAGGGAACTAGAAAAATGGAAAACTCTGATCAAGAAAGGCATAAAACTACCTACCTGGATATGTTCCCCCCCTTTTTTTTTTTTTGATAAATTGGAATTTTAGTAACAGGAAAAAGCCTCGAAGCATGCTTGAGTCCTTCCTGGGGACTTTACTGTCTGGTCTCAAGCACTTTCCTGTGCTGAATTTTTGCATTTTACCAAATCTATCCCAGACCTATTTCGTCCTGACAGTCCTATCACCAAAGACCAGGCATACCTCAGCCTTAATCACTTCTGTGTTATTGACAATAGCCAGCTCAGAATTGAGTCTGGATGCCATATTAGGTGCCAGGTAGACTGAAGAGTTCGCAGTGTTTCAGTCTCTTTTACTATACCCTAAGGAAGGAGACCTCACAGCATAAGAAACAACGTCCTTCTTCATTTCAGCCTGCATTTCCACCTCCAATACTGGTCTTAGATGGGCATGAAGAAAGAGGGTATTAAATGAAGCCTGTCCTTATTCCTCCACGGGACACCTGCCTTCCAGCAGCACTCCAAGCATGCTCTGGACCCAATCAATGTGGACTGCTCTGCAGATCGTAAGAGAGTACAATGAGAAAGGAGGGAAAATAACTTACTGATCTGGACATTTAATTTAACTCTTCTTGATTACGTAAGATTCTTGGGGAGATGATAATCAAATGATTGTGACTGCATTGTTAGCAACATAATGGGCTGGGAACTGTAAGCCCATCAACTCTGTACAAACTGACTTACCCAGAAGGAAGGCACTACAATCACCACTCGCCTTCTGCTTGTCTTGCTGAAAGGACGGGTGCCCTGACAGTGGGCGTGGTCAGGGCACCAGCCAGCAACTAGCCCTGCTCCTGAACCTTGAGTGGCCAGCCCCACTCGCTGGGAGTCCTACTGACCTTTCTGCTTGCCACAGTGACCAGCTTCCTTGCCATCTCTTCGTTTCCTAGGCCCAGTAACCCGTTTGTAATCACAGCTGTGCTAGAGACAAATCTACCCGAATTACTGCCATTTGAGGGAGGAGACGCTGGATTTAGTTTGAGCCCCCAGCCTCCTCTCAGCCATCAGGCAGTTAAGGGAAGGGCTGATTTTTTTTCTGTCCGTGGCTTGCTGCTCGCCCTAGTCCCTTGGTGCCTTGCCCTCTCTGCTGTTCACCCGAGAGGTTTCTGGAGCGCTGCAGCCTACAGATGCTCAGCTTTCCTCTGGCAGGTCTAGAGGAGACTTGGCTACACCTCGAACCTTTGACAGTAGATGACAGAGTGAAGAAGGGAGGACCTGCCTCACACTGTTTGGGATGGGCCTCTGCTGACTAGATTGGTATGAAATGCCTAGGTGCCAGAGAGCCAATCCAAGGGAAGTGAACGGGTTTAGAGACCGCCTCTCAGGGCCACGGTTTTAAATGTCCGCCCAGAACAGTGTATTAGAATATCAACATGATTAAGCAAAGCAGTGTTCTGGGCTTAGCTCAGTGGGTCTGCAGGAACATTTCCCCACCTCCCTCATGCTGGGAGTCCAGGAGCTGCCATACAGCATCTAACTACGCTGAGGCAGAAACGTCTGCCTCCTCCCACACTAGGGATGTTCTCACTCCACAGCTGATACCAGGTGCCACTCCCTGTCCCCACCCAGACTGCCCCGGAGCGCCTCACTCTATTACCTCTTCTCCAGAGTCCGTGTGCTTGTTTCCTATGGATCCAAAGTTCCCGCACTTTACATGACAAAAAAGGAAATCATCTTTGCGTCCATCTTCCCCCCCCTTTTCGTTGTATGCACAAAGAAAACTCTAAATGAAAAGTACATTTAGGCGTCTCTATCCCCCCAGCCAAGAACTCCCTTAACAGTATAGAAAGTGCCACAAGCAGGCCAAAAAACAAAACACAAGACAAAACCAAAACTGCTTTTCTGAAGGGAGCAAGTGTGGTGTCTGACACCACCAGAGGCTAAGTGAGCTGTAGGGTCCCCATGGCATCAGTATCCGTCCCGTGAGGCCTGTGCCAAGCTGGTGATGGAGAGGAGTGAGGGACACCTGCAGTGGCAGTCTGCTCTACAAGAGCAGTGAGGTAGTCCCCAGCCCCAGGACATCAAGGGCATGACAGTGGCCAGCGTGGGGGAAGGATCCAGCCCTCTGCCTGTCCAGCGTTAACCACTAACCAAGTTTATATTGCCTTTGAATCTTAATCAATTGAATCAGTAGACCCAATACTCAGGGGATTTTTCTTTACACGGTCCTCGGATCTTTTAGATAGTCCATTAGAAACAGAAGGCTGTAATTTGTCTTGAAACCAAACAAGGCCGTCTGGTAACAAGTTTGTCAAGTCCTCCCCTTTGTAGTGCGCGCGAGAGTTGAGCTTCATAGGACGCTCACTCCCGTTGGCGGCAGAATACGGTGTGTTGGTTACACACTTCCTGTGTTCTCCTTTCGTTCCTACTATGGTTGAAAAGTGAAAGCAGGTGCACAGCTTAGCTAAAAAGGGACTGAAATTCATGATGCTTCCTGTGCAATGTAGCATCGATGTTGTTTGTAACTGATGTTTGTTCATTTCTATGCATTTTAATTTTTTAATTATGAGCATTTTAATAAATTCAGTTTTACAAACAATTCTGGGGTCTAACTAGGTTTAATTGTCTTACTAATGTTTTTAAGGGAACTGGTTTCTGAGATTTGCCAGCAAGTGTAAGTTAGATAATAGATGTATACCACTGTATAGAGTATATCTAAAATTACTTTCCATGGCCTTTGGTTACATGGACTTTCTTAAAAGATTAGGGATAGGTTTCAGCCAGGGTAGCTGCTAGAGATGAGCCAAGCCTGTAAATCCAGGGGAACTGAAAACTTCCCTAGCTAGGTGCGCTAGAGTCACTGGTGAGATGACAGCCTTTGTCACTGTCTTAGTTAGGGTTCCTATTGCTATGAAGAGACACCATGGCCTTGGCAACTCTTTTTTTTTTTTTTCTTGGTTTTTTGAGACAGGGTTTCTCTGTATTGTTTTGGAGGCTGTCCTGGAACTTGCTCTGTAGACCAGGCTGGCCTCGAACTCACAGAGATCCACCTGCCTCTGCCTCCCGAGTGCTGGGATTAAAGGCGTGCGCCACCAACGCCCAGCTGGCCTTGGCAACTCTTACAAAGGAAAACATTTAAATGGGGCCGGCTTACAGTTTCAGAGGTTTAATTCATTGTCATCATGGCAGCATGCAGGGAGACACAGTGCCGGAAAAGGAGAGCTCAGAGTCCTACATCTTGCTCAGCAGGCAGCAGAAGCAACTGTGAGTCACACTGGGTGTAGATTGATCACAGGAGACCTTAACACCCTCCCCCCACAGTGACACACTTCCTCCAATAAGGCCATACCTTCTCCAACAAAGCCACTCCCTGTGGGAGCCATTTTCTTTCATACCACCCCAATAACCATCTTTAGGTTGTTTTGTTGGAAATGTGTCTCACTGTAGCTCAGGCTGGTCTCACCCTCTCAAGTTCTGGAACTATAGATAACACTTGGATCCGAACTGCACTTCAGAACAGAACTAATTAGAAACATTGTAAGCCCAGCAAAGGGTTACTACAAGTTTACTTCTAAAACAAAGTATCCCCTTCTCAATGGGGAACTTCAGTAACTGACCAGAAGATGCAAATTTTCCAACCAGTATCTTAAGAGACTTTTGGGTGTTTGTTTCTACTTAAAATTTTAAATGTTTTTAAAGCAATCTTCAGAAGACAAGGTGGTTAAATAGATGCACCCAGTATTCATTTTTCTCTCCACAGGCACTTAGAGGCACAGGAAGTGACTGAACACTGGAAATGAGCAGGAGACTGACTGGAATCTTGAAAGATTGAGAGAGATAAGGCATGGTGTCACCCTGGTTTCAGAGCCAGGGGTGCAGGAGTGAGGCGGCCTGTGAATGAATTGCTAAGTAAGATTAACACACACACATACACAGAGAGAGAGGGAGAGAGAGAGAGGGAGAGAGAGAAGAGAGAGAGAGCTAGAATCACAAAAGCCTCAACAAATTGGACCAACAGAAGGAAGGAAGGAAGGAAGGGAGGGAGGGAGGGAGGGAGGGAGGGAGGGAGGGAGGGAGGGAGGGAGGGAGGGAGGAAGGAAGGAAATCTGTTGAAATGGCCTATTCAAACAAGGGGCAAGGGAGAGGAGAGAGGAATGGAGGGGGAAGGGAGAGAAAGGAGGATGAAGGCATTCAAAGTGTCTAGAAACAAACATGTATTTTCAGAATACCAAAGCCTAGACCTGTTTTGAAAGGAGACTACCCAAATTTGCACAAATTTAAGAGTCAATCTCTGGGATTCCACAGACATTCTACCACACTGGCTTAGCTGATGGTTTTCCCATGAGCCAGACTTGACTTGGTAGAGTGACTGTCACAGACCAAATGTTATGATGTAAATATCAAACGTCCCCTACAGGGTCATTTAGTGCATGCTTGGTCACCAGCTAGTGGCACTGTCTGGGGAGATGGTGAAAAATTTAGGGGATAGGAAGTAGACAGAAAAAGTCGGTTGCTAGGGGCATCCCTTTATGCCTGGTCCCCAGACCCTTCTCTCTCACTCAGCCTTCTCTATCACATGCCCCCACCATCTGGGACTATAGTCCCAGAAACTAATGGCCATGTACTGTGTCTTCTGAAATGTAAGTCCTATCTCGTCACTGCCATAGTCATCAGAAAGCTGACACAACCACTGAGTGCTACATAATGGGGAATGGGTGTGGCAATACAGAAAGGAGTCGAAAGCACCATCCATAAGAACTGGGGGTCCAGGAGCCTGCTGAGACCAGTGTGTGGCCAGTACATGGGACAAACAAACAAACCAACAAAGATCTCTGAGTTTCTTCTACAGCCAAGAGCTTGACTGTATCCCCAACTCCAAGGCACAGAGTGACAAGGTCCAGGTAGAAACTATTACTGATGTCATCATCCTACTCCTCCCGGCTCCAGTGAGCACCTCAGCTGAGAACAATTTTGCCTGACTCCAGCTGTGGCCCACATCTGCTTGAACTAAAAGCACCAGGCAGAAGATCTTATCTATCACCCATCCACCCACTGGCATGCACAGCTGGGAGGAAAGCCCTGTGCCCAAGCACAAAAGCCCACAGCAGCAGTAGAATGCACAATTTCTCCTGCATCAGTACTTACGTATGTTACCTACATTGATCACTGGCACCTTGCCCCGTTCTGTGATGTTGACGAAACCCCATGAACGTTACAGGGCAGGTACCATGATTCTTGACACTGCTTCTCATTAAGTGCCTGGTTCCACATCAGTGTCACAGGACAAACATGTTAGGTTCCTTGGAACTCTGAGGGCAACCATACCATGATTCGCTCAAGTCACAGTGCCTGAGGAAGCCCAATACAGAGTACCACATGGAAAAGCTACAAGGGAGCACACATGGTGGTGTCAACACCACACATCCCAAAACTTCTAGAATATTACACTCACAAAAATCAACTCCTGATCTCTCTGTGATTTCCCTGTGAAAGCTAATCTTATTTGTTAACTTGATTAGATAGAAATATGCCTAGAATATATCCAAAATATGCAAATTCATACAACAAGGACATCTGTTCCACTATGTTCATAGCAGCATTATTTGTAATAGCCAGAACCTGGAAACAACCTACATGCCCCTCAACTGAAGAGTGGATAGAGAAAATGTGGTACATTTACACAATGGAGTATTCAGCAGAGAAAAACAATGGAATCTTGAAATTTGCAGGCAAATGGATGGTACTAGAAGAAACCATCCTGAGTGAGGTAACCCAGTCACAAAAAGACAAACATGGTATGTACTCACTCATATATGGATTTTAGACATGGATCAGTGTTAAGAGAAGCTTTTTCTTTGCTAGCCGCTTTGGTTTATCACCCGCCAGCCGCCTGGGCTCTGCCGCGTTGTAGTCCCCAAATAAACACACAGGACGCTGTATTAATTATGAAGCTGTTGGCCTTGCTTGTCTCTTACTGGCTAGCTCTGCTTTAAGTAATTACCCCATAATTGTTAATCTAAGTATGTCTCTTACCGGAGAATAGTTCCGGGATTCCTACCCCATGGGGGTTACATCTCGAACTCTCCTGTGTTTCTCCTTCCCAGAATCCTCCTGGATTCCTAGTCCCTCCTATCTTGGTTCCCTATAGGCTCAACAGTACTTTATTGACAAATAACAGGCAAATAACAGGACTTCCCCAACAGATCAGGATAGTGCCAGTCTGCAATTCCACTGACAGAGAGTCTGTGAAACAGGAAAGAACCTAAGAGAGACATGCATGGTACCCCAGAGAAGAGGAATGAAGCAAGATCTTCTGAACAGATTGGGAACACGGCAAGGGGTAGGGGGGGAGTGGGAGCTGGGAAGAAGAGACGGGGAGAAGAGGAAGAGAGAGTAGGTCATGGGGAATAGGAAGGTTGAATGGGGGGGTAGGATAGGGGGAGAACAGGATGAGAAATACCATAAAAGAGGGAGTCATAGGTTAGAAGACAGATCTGGCACCAGTGAGACCTATAGTGATCTAAAGGGATGACACCAAATGGCAAGCTAAGCAATAGTGGAGAGACCACCTTAAATGCCCATTCCTGATAATGAACTTGACGTCTACACTATATGCCGTCCTAGAACCTTCATCCAGTGACTGATAGAAGCAGAGCAAATGCCCACAGTTAAACACTGAACTGAACCCATGGAACCCAGTGACAGAGAGAGAGGATCGATGAGCAAATTGGCAAAGAATGGGCTGGCGAAACCATTAGAGACAGCTGTTCTGAACAGGGGAGAGCTCTTGGACCCCAGACCAACAGTTGGGAGGCCAGCATGGGACTGATCCAGACCCCCTGAGTGTGAGAGTCAGTGAGGAGGCCTGGGCAACCTATGGGGCCCTGGGCAGTAGATCCGTGTTTATCCCTGGCATACAACTGGACTTCGTGTGTCCATAACACAAAGAGGGTTGCTCTCTCAGCCTGGACTCTTAGGGGAGTGCCTGGACCCTGCCCTGAGCAAACTGATATCCCCTATGTGGAAGGAAGTGGGGATAGGGTGGGAGGCTGGGGGGATGGTGGGGAGTGTGGGAGGAGGGGAGGGAGAGAGAACTGGGATTGACATGTGAAGCAAGCTATTTAAAATTAAATTTATTTTAAAAATAAAAAAAATAAAATAAGAAATTAAAAAAAAAGAAGAGAAAGGTGAGTGGTACCCTTGAACGAATTGGTACAGGAGACTGCTTCCTGAACATAACACTAGTAGCACAGACAGTGAGGTCAACAATTAATACATGGGACCTCCTGAAACTGAGAAGCTTCTGTAAGGCAAAGGACACAGTCAACAAGACAAAATGGCACAGAATGGGAAAAGATATTCACCAACCCCACATCTGACAGAGGACTGATTTCCAAATATACAAAGGACTCAAGAAGCTAGTCACCAAAAAATCCAATTAAAATGTGGGGTACAGAACTAAATAGACAATTCTCAATAGAGGAATCTAAAATGGCTGAAAGACACTTAAGAAAGTGTTCAACATCCTAAGCCATCAGGGAAATGCAAATCAAAACAACTCTGAGATACCATCTTACTCCTGTCACATGGCTAAAATCA